CACAGTCTAAGATTAGAATTAGTGATAATAATACAGTGAAATAAGATTGAGTGTAGTGTAAACAATTAGCATTAGAATAAAAGTATAGAGTAATAAAAGTGAAATTAGCTTCTAATTTGAGACTCAGCTCGTTTTTGTCTGTGTTTTGACTGAATCTGCTGAGTTCTTGTGTGTCCAATAGTGTTTGTTTGTTTTTTTTTTAAAACGAGTGTCGGTGGGGCGACAGTAGCTCAGTTGGTAGAGCATTCGCCTTTAGGGCCAGAAGGTCGTGGGTTCAATTCCCACCTCTGCACCATCTCCACCGACTCCCTCTGATGACTGCTGTCGTTGTGTCCTTGGGCAAGACACTTAACCCCACTTTGCCCAGAGCCCCCACTGAAAGATCAAGGCTATGCTCACACTCAGAGAGCAGCCGTCCTCCTGTGGACTCACCACCTGCAGAGGATCAGTGAGGGGCTGGTGCTATGAGACTTGGGTGGCATCTCTGATTGCCACCCCCCTGACCCAGAAATGGATTAAAGGGTAGAAAATGGATGGATGGATGTTTTTTTTTATTTGTTTTTGTTTTGTTTGTTTATTTACTTTATTTTCCCAGGATAGAGGATAAAATCCACTGATATTGATTTGATGATTATGAGTTTAATGCATACATTTTCTTTGTTTTTAATAATTTTTTTAAAGTTTTTTTTGGATTTTTTTTTTTTTTCTTTTTCCACTTTATTGATTGATCAAATTGAGTGATCACATGTGATTATGTGATCAAAGGGGAGGGTGTTAGTATTAAGGGGCGTTCACACCGGACTTAACTTCAGCGTCAAAAGCGTCAGGTTTCCATTGAAAGTGAATGGTGAAGCGCGTCAGGTGAAGCCAAGAGCCCCGGCGTCACTTGACGCGCGTCAAAAGCTTCAAGAGTTGCGCTCACTTGAAGCTTTTGACGCGCGAAACGCTCGCGTATCACAACAATCCCTTTGACGCCGAAGTTGGGCAAAGCTGAGCTTTTGAAGCTTTGACGCGGGCTTCAACCAATCAGGAGACGAGGAGCAGCAGCAGCAGAGGGTCTGTCTCTGTCATGAAGAGAAGTCATGTATCTGCTGCTGTTGTTTTATTGTCATTATTGTTATTAGTAATATTATTTGTGTGAGTAGTAAAATTCTGAGTAACAAAAATCATTGTACACATGCTGTGTAGTAAACGTAGTTTATTTAATATAAGAACAGGCTGACGATGAGTCTGGCTCAGAGCAAGGCAGCTCCGGGCGGGCGAGAGCCGGGGAGAGGCAGGGAGAGGCAGGGGGAGGCAGGGAGAGGCAGGGGGAGGCAGGGAGAGGCGAGAGCGAGGCGGGGAGAGGCGAGCTCCGGGGTTTGAGAACTCAGACTGGGCAAGTGACATGCGGAAGTACAGCTGAAAGCGAAACTCCTCCGTACGCAGCTCCTGGAGTAAATGACGGAACTCTGCAAACACTGCAGCCTCTCAAGTCTGTGGTGAACCCAGAACATCTTTTGTTGAAGCCCTACAACAACGTTATTTTGCTTTATATAACAAATAAATGCTCGCTGCTCATTGAAAAATCCACCGCTGTCCTGACTACAGGCAACAGAGAAGCTCCTCCCACCGGCGTCAGGCGCGTCACTCGCGTCAAAAGCTTCAAGCACCAAAATGACAAAACTATCCCGGCGTCAGTTGAAGCGCGTCAAAATCTTTTTGAAGCTTTTGGTCTGAACGCGCCTTTAGATAGCAATATGGCCTACGTGCAGGACTGTACAAGGACTCTACAAGGACTCCATGTTATGACTATGATGTGACTGTCTCTGTGTGACACGTATGTCTTTCGATGTGTGACGTGACAATGACTATATAAACTGTGTACTGCCTTTATTCTGTCTGAGAGAAAGAAACAAAGTAAACCAGTGGAACTTGAGAGAAACTTAAATAAACTTCCAGAGTTTGGCGCACCACGATCCGTCTCTGTCTGCTAAATCCTAACAGTTATACTATTTAAGGTGTCCATGGCTTGGATACAGACTTATTGAATATAAGTGAAAAGTAATAGTATTTCTTACGAGATTATTACACGTTATTTTTTTATCCTTTGAATAAAACCACGACTAAAACCAGGTGTAAACCAAATCTAAACAAGGTCTAAATGGGTGCACCACTAAATCAGGACTAAACCAGGTCTAAAAGATTAAACCACTAAACCACGTCTAAACTGGGACTAAACCAGGGGCACTTAGAAAATAAAATACTTTAACTTTTGACCCAATTTTAAAAATGTAATTAAGTACAAAGTACAGATACAGGCTCTAAAATGTAGTTAAGTAAAAAGTGTCCATCATAAAATGTACTCGAGTAAAGTAAAAGTATCCAATCAAGTTTATTTATGAAGCACTATTAAAAAACAATCGGTTGACCAAAGTGCTTTCTTTCTAATCCAAAAGAAAACATAAAGAGATGTAGGACAGCAGGATACAGTGATACAATGTATGCAGATCGCCACAGACTGGGATGGGCATTGATTAAAAGCCCAGCTAGTCCGCTAGCAGAAGCTAGTCCGTGTAAAGACAACACTGGCTGGTTATTGGATAATAGTAACTGACTAAAATTGTAACAACAGTACGGTGGCAGAAAAAAAATATTTACAACAAAAAAATCAACACTTCATAATGAACAGAAAAAGCTGTACCTATAATTGGTACTTTTAACTTCCTACAACTGGTCAAAGGAGTATGCAAATACAAATGTACAGGCACAGAAGTCCTAACTCCCACTCTCACCCTCCACACTGCCCTCCCTCACGAAATCAGTCTTGTGTCTCCCTGTACACCACACTCTCACTGAGATTTATGAGTGCACCCCACACTTTCACTATCTTATCTATAGAGGCCAATGGTGATGCCACAGCTTCATTGGTAAGGCTTTGTATCATAGAGATGGGTAGAGGTCCCTTTAAAATGGTGTACCTATTTTTCAGTAGCCCTATGACACGTTCTATATGAATGCGAACCGAGGAGATCTTTCGGGACGTTTCAACCTCCTCTGCAGATAACTGCTTTTTCCCCTTGGTGAAGGCAGGTGTCAACAGTACAGCCCCACACTCGGCTGCAAAGTCCTCGTGCAACGTAAACCCACGGTCAGCCAATATCTGGTCACCAGGCAAGTGATATGTGCGGCTTATAAATCCGGACTGACGAACAATTTGGACATCTGACGCTCCCCCCCCCCACACTGTAGAAAGGTAGTTAATGGTGCCCAGTGGAGAGCACGACACAAATACTTTAACTGTACAATGCTGTACAATGTAATTCCAAAAATAGATAAAAGGTATATATTTTGCAAATGATCACAGAAATTTTAAGTCATGGCCTCATATTTATAATAATAATAATAATGCATCAGTTTTATGTAGTGCTTTTCTGGACACTCAAAGACGCTTAACATTGCACTATTCATTCACTCCATACTTGGTGGTGGTAAGCAACTATTATAGCCACAGCTGCCCTGGGGTAGACTGACTGAAGCGAGGCGACCAGTCTGCGCCATCGGCCCCTCCGACCACCACCAACCACTCACTCACTCGGCTTCCTGGTGTTACTAAACGGCAGTATATTTAGTATTGAGTTGGATTGGGACGACAAGTCATAATATGTCATAAGTCATAATGACTAGAAAGCAGCGACCAGTAGACTAGTTTTGTACTATAAATACCATCTTACCAAGAATTTCCAGGCTAGGCAATATGTACAATAGGTCTGGCATGCGCCTTCTGTTCGGCGACCCCGCTCCCATCTCTGAGGAGTGAGAGGACAAGTGCCCAAAAAAATAATAACAATTGTAAACCGCTTTGTGACCCTTGTCTGTGAAAGGCGGTATATAAATAAACATTACTTACTTACTTACAAAAATCTGCATGACTAGTTACTTTGTAGATGCAATGACTTTTTCATATAGGAGGTAATTTTGTTTTCAAGGAAAATACATTTGTTAGCAAAATCTGTATTTTTACACAGATTACCATTTTTGTAGCAGTTAACCTCCCAAGTACTACTTTTTCAAATTTGTCATTAGAAATCAACATGTATTTTTTATTTATGTATTTCATATGGGGGACAACATTCTATTTCACAAGGTGCTTGTATCAATTGTTGTACACAACCTCATTGCAATATGGAATCTTTTAATTCTTAACTGTGCATTGGAAATGCAGCTCATTATCTGCAGGTACGGTTTTACTGCAGTGTAAAATAAGAGCAAGAAACACAATTTGCTACTATATATGTCTGCATAAACAAAATCGACTGCAATTTGTTAGTTTTAAATTTCAAGTGTTGTGTCAAACAAATTCAGATAATTTTTGGTCATTGATCTAGGAGCAAACTAGATGCATGTTGATCACACTACAGTTTGATGGGGTTTTTTTTCTGTTAACGATAGGGTACTGTGGGTAGCAAACTTACCTTTTCTTTTCTGTGCTCTCTTGAAGCGATCAAGTGTGGTACTCTTAGTCAATTCCTTCAGCACTGCTTGCGGGAAAATGGACGGAGTGTAATCTGGGTGTGCGGGGTTGTTGTTCTTCTTTCCTGTTCAAGGAGCAAAGTGACAAAATCTAAAGATTCCCACTGAGTAGCTCCAAGTGGGGGACTGATGGGCAAACTGTGACCACATTAACAGGCAACTACAGAAGCATGTGAATAATCTTAACAACAACATACCTTCCATGAAATGAGAAGAGCAAACGTAATGGTAATCCGATGTAGGCCGCCATAGCTTTGTGCTGTGTGAACTAACACCTCTTCCAATCGCCTGGAGCCATTTCTCTCTCCTTTCTGGCTCAGTTGCCTCGCTAGGGATCATGTAAAAGGATAGGTCACTCCTTTTTACGCTGTTGTTGGTACAACCAACAATACAACAGTTTTTCGGCATGTTTTGTAACGCTCGTTTGTCTTTCGCTTCGTGTTGCTTAATGGCGGGCGCTGGTTTGTTTTACCCTTCGCCGCGTTGCTATGCGCGCGCAGTGCATTATGGGAGTCCAAGTTCCCGGATGTCCGACCTCGAGAATACCAATTGGCTTCAAATACATTGCATATGGGGGAGCGCATCCGCACCAGCGTCTTGTAGTTGGTCGATGATCATAACACTCTCCTTGCAGCCATACATTCAGGCGTTTCCACGAGTTAGCACAACCACGGACCGCACAGTATGACCCGGATCCCAGTTTGGGTTTTGCTGAATCCATTTTATATTTTAAGAAGGTTGTATGATCCTTGACAATACATGTGTATAAGCCGCGCTAAGAGCTAACCGGAAGTCCGGACACGGAAGTACTTGGCAGAACCAAGGGCCAATGGAAGACATATCCCCAAAAAGCCGCGTTCACCGCATGAGTTCCTGGTAAATGGCCCTGTGGGGGAGGGTCCTGCCGTGGGGACACACCAACAGGGCTTATTATAATAGAACCATTGGCTGGCCCTGTAAAATTACCCCAAAGTTCCTGCGGTTTCCCTCTCGTCCTCATCCTTTATATCTGCAGTTGCTCTCCTGTCCTGATGAGGCGCTGTCCTCGGTCCTTACTTCCTTTCATTGTGGCGATGCATTTGTTTTGCTGCGGCTGCATGAGGTGAGTTCCTGAGTTGTGCTGTAAACACGGGAGCATAGCCACGTCTTTTCTGCGGTGCGTTGCTCGTGTTTTCACCCTGTTGTCCTCCAGCTAAAGCCCATTTCCTGCCACTGCCCATTGAACCGCATTGTTTTTGTTTTTCCCCCAGGTCAGCTAGCTGTTCGCCCTGTACCTGCACATAACGCTACCAACCCAACCGGCTGCTGCGCCAGATCACTGGCACAAGCTCACGGAAATAAAAGACATTCTCATGAGACAGGTCTGTAAACACGCCTGCCCTGTAATTATATAACGTTACACTATGTAGATAGATCGAGATATAACGATATATTGATATTGAAACATTTACAGTTAGCCAAGAAGCATAGCAGCTACTCATTATGTATTCTTTGTGTGCTCTTACTATTGTTCTGTACATTTCCCCATTGTGGGACCAATAAAGGATCTCTATGATGATCACTGCAATTAGTCATCTTAAATTAGTTCTCATCTGTACATTTCCCTATTCTTCTTGTGTGCACGCTATAGTAGGGCTGTGATTAACGATTAATTGATCAGTTTACTGAATATTCTTTAAATTAATCAGTCAATTTTGGGTTACTTACTCTAGTTGTGTATTTTTATATGAGCCTATATTGTATGTATTTATTTTAGAATTGTATGATTAAATTTGGGGTGTTTTTGTTTCTCCTATAGCCACCATGTCCATCGAGTACACCCTGGACATCCAGCTCACTGAGATGGGCTTTCCAGAAGTTGTCCATCCACAAGTGCCTTCTGTGGCTGATACTCCTTCAAACTCTGACAGTACATCCCATAACTCTTCCCTGGTGAATGAGACGGAGGCTGGAGAGCCTGTGTCAGAGGAGCCATCGCAGCCTGTGGTGAAGAAGCCAGCCCAGGTGAAGAAATCTCTGGCAAAAAAAGCTGCAGCAGAGGAAATTGAAGAACACTCCTCTGACAGTGATGTGTCTTATATAGAAGAGGACTTGGAGGACGAAGACGATGATGATGATGAAGAGGAGGAGTTGGAGGTGGTGGAAGCAGGTGTGTGGATTCATGCATCACTTAACATGAGGGGACACCAAAGGCCTCTTGCCAGAAGCTGTTTTTGTTTGGTATACTTTAAAGTTTATTTTGAGCGAACTCTGAATTTCTCATTCTAATTTAATTTAATCAGTGTTGTACTTTGCTATATATTTATTCTTATTTGACCATTATTATTTGGAAATCCTGGCAAATTGATTTACGTAGTAGCCCTGGCATCATTCATGATTGTTTTAGTCTGCTGATGGATTTTTTTTTAATTCGATATAACTATCTAAGATTGTTATAATTTTTTGTATTTTCTTTCTCTTTCAGGGAACTTCCAGTGTAACGTGTGTAACCTCACGTTCCCTTCCATGTTCAAACTACAGGACCACATGAACCTGCACTCGGGAGAACGCCCCTACTCCTGTGCCGAATGCGGCAAACGCTTCTACCAGATCCGAAGCTACCGCGACCACCTCCGTGCCCACGCTCGCCACCGAGCCAAGCAGCACAAATGTCGCATATGTCTCAAGTCCTACACGGCTGAGGCTGACTTAAAATACCACCTGACTATGAACCATTTTGAGGAAAAATTTTACGAATGTGACAGATGTAAGCGCGTATTTACCAACCTGGAGACTTGCCAGCACCACATAGAGTTCACGTGCATGCGCAAAGTTAAGTGCGAGAAGTGTAATCGGTATTTTCCTAAAGAGAAGCTGCTCCGACGGCACCTGGAGAGTAAACGGTGCTACAGCAACTTAAAATGCGCAGATTGTCCGAAGGTTTTTACCAGGAAGAACGCCTTACTTAAGCACAGTTTTTCCCATTTGGGGCTCTTGCCTTACACATGTATCCGATGTAGGTGTCATTTCCGTCTCGCAAAGCTGTATCTTCGCCATCAGTGCACGCCACAAAGGATCCACTGCGGTGCCTGTTTGCGGGAGTTTCTCAATGATCAGGATTTCCAGCAACACAAAAAGGATACAGGCTGCTGGGGGGATCGGGACAAAAAAGGGGATGAAATCCGGTGTCTGGAGTGCGGGCAAAGGTTTGAGACAAAGGAGGATTTGAAAAAGCATGCGGGCGCTCATCAGAGGGTGCTGAAGTGCGCGGAGTGTGGGAAAGGCTTCAGGTCTGCGCTGCTGCTGATGTCGCACATGGGCGGCCACGCAGGGCAGTCCCCGTGTCTGTGTCAGAGCTGTGGCCTGGGCTTTCCTCACCAGCAGAGCTACGACAGTCATCTGAAGATGTGCGGACAAGAAATGCAAAACACTGTAAGTGAACCAGCAGTTTTTCATTCACTCAATTTGTTGTTTTATTAATTGATGGAGACAAAATATAAAAATGTATATACACCAAATATAATATAATGCAAAATTGTATATTTTGAGGTTATAAGCATGTCCTAAAATAGATTTGGAATTTAGTCTTTGGCTCTAGCCAAGCTCAGTAACTTTTTGCTACTCGACAATGAGAATATTACTATCATATTTGTTGTAAGTTGTCATCCGGACTGCTGACAAGTCCTAACAACATCCATGTTAGAATCACCCTCACCACATCTTTAATTCAAGTTCCCAGACAGTTTTTTCACATTGCACTGTATTCTGGATAACTGAATAACTTCCCTATTTAAAAACATATAGGGAATCAAAATGACTACTTATAACATAAAATGGACAAATAAGAGATAGAAGATTGCAAGTATTTTTTCTTAGACAATCAGAACTAGCAGAGTGGATGCATGATGATTGTATAAAACATTTTACTCCCCTTTTGTTTTTCAGAAACCACAAAAGAAGAACCAGTCTAATAAGAAAAAATCACGAGGATCAACCAGCACTACGTCCTCCGTGGAAACAGCCATGTTTCCTTTGTTGGTTCCAGAAGCATTCGTTGGCAGCTCAATACCCCTGTCCTACAACACAAGTTCAGCTTTGCCAGCACCAGATAACGGTCCAATGCAAGTAGTGGCAGAAGACTCTCATGACCTTCCTAAAGGTAGCAAAAAGGCTTTAGGTGGTTCTGAAGACACAAGTCACAGCAACCAAAAATCCGTTGTCGACTCTGACCCAAGTCAAGGCTGCTGGAAGCTCTCCCTTGACAAGCCCCCACCACCTGGAATGAATCTTCTCTTATTTCTTCCAGTGGGCCAAAACCAAAACAATTTGTTAGTACCATGCGCCGCTCCTCAAGTCTTATCCGTGCCACAAATCCAAGTTCAGGCATCGCTGGTCTCTAATGGAATTGTGGGTGGAACGCTGGCAAGCGCAGTGTCTGGAACATTGTGTAAGCGAGATGAAGAATCGCCTTTGGATTTGTCGCAGAAAACAAGCCCGCTTAAGTTGGTAACAGAAAATAATCCTACTGTTAATATAAAAAGCGAAGCGGAAGAAGTGGAAGTGTCTGTGTCACTAAAAGGCGGTGAGGAGAAGGCAATAATCGATTTGGCAAAACCGTTAGATAAAACCCATACTTCCTTGCATATCAAAAGGCCAGCTTCGCCTGTGGCCATTGATGGTTTACCAGAGAAAAAGGAATTAAAAGAAGAAACTGATTATAATACCAAGACATAATGTGTTTGTATTTAAGCGAATCAATGAGTTGGCCTGAGGATCTACTTTTCTACTGTAAACAATGCATTCCAACCTACTTTTCTGATGCCTTTGACTATGCAATCTTGACTTTTGGTTCAAAGCACTGGATGTACAAGCTGTTTGTTCATGTAGCACTACAACAATGTACTTTCTATGTTTGTATTTGTAAATCAAGTTTTCTCATGTATGCTGTATAACCATCTTACAAGCAAATAAGATTTTTTTGTATTTGGTTATTTATCTGGGAGGAAGGGGGGTTTTGGTCTGTTTTAATTAAAAATGAACATGAGCAATTGTTTCTGAAAGCTGAGGTGCTGATTGACCAACTGTAACAGGGGCACTGCATAAAGATATCTTACAAATTTACAAACAGTTGTGGTTCCTCGGGATATTTTTTACAAGCTTACAATGTTTTCTGATGTGAAAAAAGGTTGTTTATACTGTCACAACTAACAACGTATTATTTATTAAACAAAGTGAATTGCATCATCAAGCAGATTTCATACACAAACACAATCGAATGTGCTTAACTGAGATCGATCAACAAGGCCAACTTTGTCGATGCAGGTAAAAGATGGTAGATGTAATGGGAAATTAAAATCTGATGGAATGAACAAGACGTCTTCTGAAGGTATTGGAACGAGCAGAGTATTTTAATATGTGCCTCCACAGCGATCACTTATCAGGTAAATAACACAAGCAACAATATTATATTGCGCTTCAACTCAGATAAAACACACATTACTATTTGAATGTGTGTATTATAAATACATGGACTTGTAAATGTACAAGTTTACAGGCATGTGTGGGAAAAAAGATTGTAATTTAGCAACATTGTTTAGCATCTGTAGCAACCTGGAGTCCCAGACTGTTAAGCACTATTTAGTTCTCTAGTTACTGTACCAAGCAGGAGTGTTTTATTTCTTACTTGAGCCTGAAAAGTACTGGAACTGAGGCAGATTAACTTATCTTTAATTTTTCCATGACTAGCCATACATATCAGGGTAATCGGTCATGTAAAATATTGAGTTTACGTTCTTAAAATGTAATTTTATGATTTACAATATCAATGATCAAAAGCATTGGATTGGGACTGGAGGCAAAAAATAGTGATTGGGAAATCCCTAGGGGTCCGTCCATTGCTCTACCCAATGTCCACCTGGAATGCTGCCCTCCAAAGGGTCAAGGAAAACTTGTTTTCTTACTATTTGCATAAACCATAATGTCTATAAAGTTCACAACCTTCAGTATAAAATGGCCTCTTCAGAACTTTGAGTTGCTTATGATTAAGTGCTGTGATTATTTACACATAGTACATATATAATATATATTACATGGCCAATTCAACAGCAGTTGAATATCCCTGTGTAAAACTATAAACAGCTCATTTTCAGTTGCAAGAGTATGTTTTATTTCACTGCATTTCTATGTGGACAGGTTCCAAAAATCATCGTTTCATAGTATTTACAGTTGTATGATCATATGGGGCATTAAATAACTCTATGCAAAACTACAAATCAAAATGAGACAAAACAAAAAATCATTAAAATGGACCAGCTCTGCCCACAAATCAAACACTCCACATTGAATCTGGAGCAATCAACTAAAACAATGTTAAAACAACAATAACTTCATTATTTATAAGTTTGTGTGATAATTTAAGAGGAACATTGCCAAATCAGTGGTAAATGTACATTACAGATTATGACTTGTACAAAAACACTTCATTAATAAAATTTCATTTTTTTATACATTATCAAATTAGCTTTCCGCACAAAAACTGAAAAGATATCAAGCAAAGTTAAAACACACAGCACACGCAAGACAATCTTTTAAAACTAAATGAAATGATAAAAGTAATTGAAAAAATATGAACATTTACATGATTTTTTTCAACATCTCGTTAGTCAAATCAAATCCTAAATCATGATGAACACTCAAACTCGTTAAAAGAGCCGCCTCCTCATTTCAAGTGGTGCATCAAAACTACGTTAAAAAAGGAGAGGGCAATACAATACGCTAGGGCTGCACAATTTTGGCAAATATTTTTTTCTGATTAACATTGCAATGCGATTAACAATATCAGTTTCTATTTTTATGCAAACATAAGAAATAAAATCAAATTAGCTAAGGAAGCAGTAGCAGCTGCATTGAACAGCTAATGGAGATGAGGATTTTTCATAAATAATTTTAAAAAAGCTTAATTTGAAAATTTGTCCCACGGTCAGATTTGCCAATAGATAAAAAGGCATTTAGCAGTTTTGTTTAACTTATGAAAATGACAAGCGGTAGACAAAAGTATTCAAATCAAGATTTCCCTTATTTCCATTTTTTTTTTTAAGTTTGCAAATAACTTAAAACTATTAGTTAAACAGACTTGTGGATTTGTTAGCACCAATTTTGTGGTTTCACATATCCACAAATTAAGCATACTTAGCCCTGGTTTTATATTACTAAGCGACCACAAAGAAAATGTTAATTGGGTTGCGATAAATCTTGCAGCCCTAGCCGGTACACCAACATTGCTGTTCCAATTATCTTTTCGCAGCCTGTGTTTCCTCCTCTGTGTGGGTTTTCTCATGAGCCTTCAAGGTGCGCTCGCGGCCGAAGCTTTTCCCACACACTGAGCAGGCGAAGCGACCGGCCGCGTGGACTCGGGACATGTGGACGTCCAGCTGTGGCCGGCTGACGAAGCTCTCCTCACACTCCTCGCAGGGATGAGCCTTCTTCTGTGTGTGCTTCTCCTTCTTGTGGGCGCGGAGCTCTGCCAACCCGGCGAAGGTCTGGTCACACACGGTGCACTGGGTTTTCTGCACCGCGCCAGGCTCTGCTTTTGATTTATTTTCCAGGGTTTCATCTATAGGTTTCTCACCGTCTTCTTCTGATGTAGCGGCGGTGGCCTTAACGTTACGGCTGCGCTTTGCACCGCCTGGTTTAGCTTTTTCGTCTGCAGTGCTGGCCGACTCGGTTTCCTCTGCCTCTTCTCCATCTTCTTTCTTCTTCCGTTTTCCCTTCTTCTCCAATGCGGCGGGATTAGCTCGTTTCTTAGCGCTGCCATTACATTGTCCCGCGGGGCCCTCTGTATGAGAGAGGAACTCAGTCTCTGATTCAAAGCTTTCGCCACATTTCTTACATGTGGGGTTTTTGGCCGCGGGGTCTTCCGGCTGCGGCTCCGGGGGCTCTTCAGGGCGTGGGTGCTGAACGATTCGATGAGTGCGCAGCATGGCAGCACTCCGGAAGGTTTCACTGCAATCTTTACAGGGGAACTGTCTCTCCGGGCACAGCTGTCTTCTATGAACTGTTAACTGGAAGAAGAAAATACAATTTAGAATGTGACACTATATAATAATGATTTTTTTTTTTTCTGTTTGAAATAATTGTGTTTGATTTCATACTGGTATAGTCTTGGTTTTATACCATATACGCCCAAACTGTGGCCCGCAGGGCCTTGGGTCTGTGTTTGTCCTAGCCCTTACACAGATCATTTAAATCAGGGGTCTCAAACCGGTTTCAGAAAGGGCCATGTGGCTGCAGGTTTTACTTAAGTAAGTAAGTAAGTAATCTTTATTTATATACCGCCTTTCACAGACCAGAGTCACAAAGCGGTTTACAATTGTTATCTTTTTGGGCATTTGTCCTCCCTACTTCCAACAATTCCAAACTGAGCAGGAGCACAGATGACTCCACCCATTTCCTCAGGTGAGTCCAGTTTAAACCAGAAGATTTGAGGGAATGGGTGGAGTCATCTGTGCTCCTGCTCAGTTTGGTACTGTTGGAAGTAAAAGCTGCAGCCACATGGCCCTTTCTGGAACCGGTTTGAGACCCCGGATTTAAATCATAAATGTGAGTGCAAGTTGCTTTTTACACAAAACATGCACATAAATGTGGGTCCCAGATCCATATCTTTCACAAATATTTTGGGGTAAAACAAAATGTTTAATTTGCCTCTATGCTACATCATGTTAGAATACAATTACTAGACACTCACTTCTGAAAAGGTTTTGAAGCTTTCTTGACAGTGGGCGCATTTGAAGGGCTTGTCATCTTTGCTGTGAGTCGACTGGTGCTGCGTCAGCTCCTCAGACGACGAAAAGGTGCGATCGCAGACATAGCATGTAAAAAGAGTGTTTCCCTGGAAATAAGACAATAAGTTGAAGGGAAAACACAGGACCAATAAGAGTCACCCTTTCCCCTGTCGCTACCTGCTGCAGCACTTGTTTGTACTCCTCTCTGTGGCTCTTCTTCATGTGTCGCTCCTTGGCTTTGGCACTGCAGAAAGTGATGAAGCACTGGAAACACTGCAAATTTTCATGCTGGTCTGGAAAGACAAGACAAAGTCAAGTATTTTTCACATGTATTAATTTTTCTTCCACATAAAGTCACCACACATACATGATGCAACAGTTGGTAGCGGCCCATTCATGGGCGGTTTGAATGTGACTGTGGTTCTTGCAGGTTTGGGCGGAGCCTCTGGTGCAGGAGGATCTGGCATCGCCCGTCCCATCACAATGTCCTCTATGTTCAAGCAGTCAGAGTCCATTGTGCAGTCTCACTGGCCCTAGAAGTGCAGAGTATTTTACATTAGATGATCAAACAAAAGTGATAAATAAACAGGCAACCGTTACCAAACTTTTCGGACAGAAATCGAAAAAATAAGCACAATACATACCCCAACTACATAGCAAAATTACTGTAGTGTTGTTAAAGTAATGTATTGTGTTATCTGACCTAATTTCTCTTAATATAGTGTTTATAATAACGGCTTATTAAATGAGCGCGAGGTTAATAAATGTTTTATTATATGACTATTTTTAATTTGTGCAAATATCGATCGGTTTCAACTAGCAAAAACACATACAACCAAACTGTTAAATCGTTACATGGAGAACTTGCTTATCAGATGATTGAGGTCGCCCGCTGGTAAGTTCTCAATCTCTTCTGTGTCTTTACCAATGCTTTTTAGATATCTGTGAAGTATGTCCATGTCCGACTTGGTTTTCCTTATCGTGTTTTTAGCTTTCTGGTCTGTAACAAAGTCGTCAATCTCTTCTTGACTGTTAGGAGTTATGTTTTCGTCGTTATTTGCTGTTATTACTTCTGGCTCTTCGACCTCGTCCGGATAATAGAATTCACTGGGGGAGAATGCTCCCAGTCTTTGCTCATAATTTATTTTTTATTACCGAGGAAAGATATCAAATCTAATACGCGCTGCGGACCAATTGTCATGGTATTGGTCCGAGATGGGAAAATATCAGACCGCAAATCAGCCAATCAGAGCGCGTGTACAATACAAGTCATTTAATAAATTAAAATATTGACCAAACATAACTTGGTTATCAAAATATATTACATACACATTCACAGTAGATAAGGTATCACATTTAGTCACTATCTGCTAATTTTTGATTGTGTTCTCATCCACTGCCACCATTACTGAAACGTCAAACCTGTGTATCCCTCTTGGCTGGGAGCCCTGGGACCCCCACTACTAATTACATTTTGTACTCACTATTATAAAACTTCTATTATTTGTGTACTTGTAAAGTTTGAGGTAATCTTGATGCAGCTACATCAAAAGTAATACGTTTTACTTATTTGTACAGGGCTGCCCTATTCATTAGATGGTTATTGAATCAGCATCTACCAAAACAGTCAACAGATGGCGACATTTACTAGACTCAAAAAGAATTAAAAAAGTAAAACTTTCACTGTATCTGAATAATTATGCACGTTAATGTATATTTGAATAATTTGTTTGCTTGAACTTCAGAGCTAGAGTTATGACCTGTTTCAACCTGGAGACGTAATCATTCAGCCTACAGTCGTTGGGCTCTTAGCAAAGGCTAAACAGGGAGCTAACCTAGCGTACGTGGTAGCCAAAGATAGCGCCACTGCCATCATCTTATTATCACACATGCATGCTGTTGAGGCCTCAGATAGTTTGAAGCAAAAAAGACACATTTAATGAAGACATGCAATACAAACAGCAGACGTGATAGTAAAAGTGCGCGGGCTAATGTAGCATGTTAGCCGCTAGCTCCTGAGAGCGCCCATACCGAGAGTGTTTACTTTTATCAGCGCGGTGTTTCATTCCACACTTACTCCACACATTAACATGCAGTGTCATGTGTATGTTTCGTGTGTTTTGTGTGAAGTATGGGAAGCTCGCGTTTACCTTGAGCCCACAGCCTCAGAGAAGATATTTGATTGAAGAGTAACTCTGACCAACGCGCGGGCCACTTCCGGATCTGCTCTGAGCGCGAGGACAGCAGCAACAGCGCCACCACTGCCCGCGCGGACACGAAATACAAAAGCCCCGTTTCCACCAGTTCTTGGCTCTGCTCTTCTCGACTCTACTCTACCTAGTTCTGTTTGCATTACACATTAGTGTCTGGAACAATATCCGAGCAACTGCAGCAACAAAAACATAGCTATCAGCAGAGCTCTGGCATATCATCGGAACACTTTAGTGGAACTAAAGTCTGGATAGAAAAGAGGGCCAAGCAGGTTCTAAAAAAAAACAAATGGAAACAGGACAAAATACACACAATAATTAAAAACTACACACAAACATAAATAATCTACAAACACAAAATACACAAACTCCAAACAGTAAATACACACAACAATACGTGTATGGTTTGTTCTTACTTTTGTTTGAATATTGGCTCTTTAATTCTTACTCCTAAAACATATCAAAACAAAATCACTCCCAATGTAATAGTAGTTAGATATTTTCTAAAAATTGTGCAGCCATATACCAGAGATCTATTAAATTGAACAAGGCAACAACAAAAATTTGAAAGAGGCGCACAATATTTTTATTGTGCAAATTTACATAACATGTACCAATTCATTAATTATATACATTAAAAGTTATGCAAAGGTATAAAGGTCAAAAAGGTTGAAACTGAACAATTATAAATTAATTGAATATTAAACATTAAACATACATTTCCTTTCAAAAAAGCTTGCCTAATTTACGCATGCACACACACCAACGGATGATTTCACAACATTCATTCTAATACAGTAAGGCAATGCAGACTTGGCTCTTGTGGAAATGAATACATGAACAATTATAATTTTGTTGATAGTTTGTCTACTATACTTTTAGTTGTATATATATTTTGTGTAGATTATAAATGATTTGTAGGATGTGGAGCATTTAAATAAACTGGGATAAACAGCATTTTTCATTAATTATACATTGTTACCAACAGAAACACTTTTGTAATCGTAAAATATTCTGTATGGGTTGACAGTGGCTCAGTTGGAAGAGCATTGGCCTCTGAGCCTGAAGGTCATGGGTTTGAGTCCACCACAAAACCTTCTCCACCGACTCCCACTGATGTCTGCTGTCGTTGTGTCCTTGGGCAAGACACTTAACCCCACTTTGCCTGAAGCCCCCACTGAAAGACCAGTCTATGCTCTCATTGACAGAGTATCCTCCTGTGGACTCACCACCTGCAAAAGGTTAAATGAGGGGTTGTGCGATGGATGGAAATATTCTGTCACTATCTTCTGAGAAAACATCTTTTGCCAACTAAGAAAGATCCCTGTGAGTCACTAGTTGACTCGCTGAGAGCTGATTGAATTAGTGAGAGGGGTCTTCTCTTTTTCCCCCTTTCTGTCTGATAAAATATACATGAATACATACATCTAGGAACTTTGAGAGTGAGGAATTCGATGGATATTATTACATAGTCTCATTTCATGTGGTTTGAAGGAAGATACCCCAGCTTTAAATATTTAGTTTTAGATATTTTCACCTTCAATTACGTCTGATGAGTAGTTCTAGGCTGTAATTCTCAGAGCAGTCCAGAAAGACGATAATACGTTTTCTTAACTCTACGGAGACACCTCTTCCTCAATGTTATTCTTTGGCCTGATGCACTTGACTGTGGAAATTGATGAAGCAGTTGTGGTTACGTGAAATGCACAGAAACACACAGCATTTTAGACAGAGCACTCGGGATGTTCTTTGACAGTCCCCAAATCGACACCTGCCCCCCTGTCCCTCCGCCAGCTGCTCGGGCCAGTGTCCCAGACCGTCGTAGCGAGAGGCTGCGTCTGGAAGAGAATTTTCGTGCAGTGGTCCTGGATCCGGGCTGTCGCCGAGGGAAGGGGGCTCCTCCGTCTGATTGGAAACCGAGTCCTGTGCATCCAAACCGCTGGCAAGGATCAAGGCTTTCGACACTTCCAGTCTGAAGGCGAGCAGTGTTAAAGGCGAGTTCACATCTCGCTTATACAGTAGCCAGGAGTTGACCAAAGCTAAATCGGTCAAATACCAAAGCACTGTTTGAGGCCAGCAACTTGGAGAACAGAGAGTCGATGGAATAGAATAGAGTTTGTGTAAGTCTTGGTTGAGACGAGCTGATACTTGCGCCTTTTCGAAATTGTCAATGAGAGAAGCGATGTTTCTTTGCCCGTTCCCGATAGTCGAGAGAATATAACCGCACTGTGATCTCCGCAGCAATAGCTTTCCATCTGAACTTACAAACTCATCCCCTATCTGTCCGTTGGTCCCGCCCACTTGCCCTGCACTATGAATACCAGCTGCTAAGAGCCGTTCCAACATGGCGGGAGTGGAAAGTTCCTGCTTACATAGAAAAACCATGCTACCCCTGGGAACCATTTTCTCAGCTGCACTTTCTTTGTCCGAAAAGTCTATTTTGAGACTGAGATCTAAAACCATACCTTGAAAATTGATCATAGTCGTGGAATGTAGTGAATGCTTGTTGTTGCCATGTGTTGTTAGTGGGAGTGGATATTGATCAATACCATAATCTCCTTGCCGCCGCAGTGAATGACAGCCTCTCGCGAAACGCTTCAACACGTGATGGACCTTACACAAAGGCTCACAGTTCTGTTGAAGATGTTGTGAATTGTGCTGCTTGTCATTTGAAGAGCCAATCACGGCGTCTCTCCTGTTTTCACTGCAGTTTTGGTCATTCACTTGTGGACAGGCGAGTTTCAGCTTTCGAGACAGCTCCAGAAAGCGCATCATGGGCATGGCGTCAGCAATCAGCGGGACCTTCGTCAAGTCCTCCCAGTAAAACCGGGGATTGGGAAACTGAAAGAAAAGCAACAAAAACATAACATTAGGATCAAAAGAAACTTCTTTGCTGTATCATATCATACGGGTAAAATATGAATAATATAAAGGAGAGATGAATAGGAAATGAGCAGTTTAGCTAAGAATACATGGATACAAGTGATCCAAAATTGGTCTGCATGTGTGTATCCATTTTATTTCTTTGGCATTTTGTGATGGAAGTACAAGTACATAGTTGCATGAAGGTAAGGTCGAGAAAAAGGTAGAGAATGGTGATGAAGATTCAAATGTAAAATAGGGTTAGGGTTATTTTAGGGGCGGCACAATTATTGATATATCTACGGACAATTTACAGATAAATACTTTTTTTAAAGGACAGAGAAATATGCTTTGCGATTACCGGATTAATTTCGAAAACTTTGCAGCCCTTATGGTTAAAAAACTGCAGATACTTTCACCCTATGTATGAAGTAGTACATTCATGTACAGTTTGTATATTGTTTGTTTATTCTTTGTTTTTTCAAACCTGCAGGTTTACTACAAAGCCATTCAGCCTATAAAATAAAAACAGAAACTCCTCTTGGTTTGAAAGGGGGATGATGGAATTTTATATGTATTGATTGGATCACTGTAAAGGAGGGGATAAAAGAATAAGGATGTGTGAAATGATGAAAACAACAAGACTTGAAACATTGCAATAAATTCAAAAATCTAAAATAAACTGTCAAAAATGCTACACAGACCTTTAAACTTCCCATTGCGACGTGGATGCCGACAAATTGTGCCACTTCTTTGATGGAAACAGGGGTGGATATGTTTTGAGCCTGATTGGTGAAATGTGAAATTTCTCGCCACGTATCCCAATCAAAGTAGTTTGAGAAATAATCAATGGGTCTCCTGATATTCTCTGTAGTTGTTCCAGAAACACTATATAAGGCAAGAATTAAAACTATGTTAAATACAGACAATCATGGGGTGGAAAACCAACAAGAAGCAGAAAAAAAGTATACCTGATTCCAGACTGATTTGACGAGGGGCTTTGTTTTTTGTAGAAATTGGCCATTATTTCTTCTTCGGTGTGGACGTGAGGATCTGACCATTCAACAGTGGAGTCCTCTTCATCAGAGCCTTGCAAAAGGAAATCGAAAAGACTTGGCGCTGACTGTTCCTCGGTCCCTTGGCCTGCTGAAAACATGAAATGTGACTTCAACACAAATGACAGGAGAAAAAGTGACAAAGACATTCAAGTAAAATCTGTTCTGGTTAGGACAATAGAAATATGGCTCAGAGAGGTAGGTTCACTTCAGAATATAAGATGCTAACAAACTGCCCTCCATCATGAGCACTCCTGCTCAGCCTCTGACACAAGCAGAGGGGCTGGTTTTCCAATTGGGGGTGGAACTGGTGGTGCACTTCCACAGTCAAAGATACAGGATTGCTCTCATACCAGATCCCACACTGCATATCACTCAATACCCCCCTTCTGCCAGAGATAGCCTTAAGTCAGCTCAGTACCATGTTCCTCTGTATTTATCTTTCTGCACTTTCTGTTTATATCATATTATCACTTAACAAACAAGGGGGAGGTCATGGGTTTGTTCTCATGTTTGTCAGAATCAGAATCAGAATCATTTTTATTGCCACATAAGTAACAGGAGGTCACAGACTAGGAAATTGCTTTGGCTCAATGCAACAGTCAAAAAGAGATAATGAAAATAAGAATAAAAAACACTTCTAAAGAATAAATTTAAATGTAAAATAGAGTTACAGTTACTATTTACAATATACAAGTGCACATGGTGCACACAATGTAAGGTGACAGCAGTACAGTGAAGTAAAGTGACGTATAATGGGCAGTAAAGTGACTTTATAAAGGGCGGGGGGACAGGTTAAGAAGTGTTCAAGAGTCCAACAGCAGAGGGGAAGAAACTGTTCTTGTGGCGGGAGGTTCTAGTCCTGATGGACCGCAGCCTCCTGCCTGAGGGGAGTGGTTGGAATAGTCCATGTGCAGGGTCTAAACATCTTTAGATGGATCCCTGGAGGCTGCACTGTAGTGAATAGGGACTTCTGCTGTTGACAGAGGCCCTAATGGCATTGGAAGGATGGTTCAAATGCAGAGGGCACCTTTCTCTATGGGGAAAATGTATCATACCTTTTAATGTATGATATGATATTATCCTCAAATACACAGCCTTACTTTTCAACATGAACTTAAATCTTTAAAAGGGCAGTGTGAAACTAAAATGTATAATTGAAGACCATCTGTGCATAAGTACGGCAATTTAAAAATTGAACATTCACCTTGTCCATCAGAGAGATCCCCAAGTCCTGGTGGTCCCATCACTTCTTCTCGAGCAAAGACATTGTCTGGGGTCAGAAAACTAACAATGAATACATTTCATTATTCACACATTTAAAAAGGGTTAGTCATTCTTGCCTGTGGTGTGCTGCTCCGACTGGTGACTGGTCTTAGTTGAAGCAGAAGATCTTTGCATCTCTCCCACCAGGACCTCCCGCTCCTCCTGTTTGACCGGGTAGAACACGCACTGACTGGAACTGCAGTTTTGAGCAGTGCTGTCAGCCGTCTCTGTCACTCCAATTGCAGCTGGAAATACAGATGCTTTTAAATAAATCATAATTTCGTAGTGGAATATAGTAATAAATATAATTTTAGCTACTATATAGCTGTTGAGGCTTCATTTAAATGAATATAAGTTGGCCAGAAAAATCTACTTATCTGTGTCAATAAAGATTTGTTGAATGTATCAGCTTTCTAAATTATGAAAACATTTCAAACCAAACCTAAAAAAGAAGCAATCAAGTAAACATAGGTGTCTTTTGCTCTTGGGTTTTGCTGAGATAAGTGGAGGGACCAAATTGAAGTAATCATGTTTTCAAGCTTGGTGAGAACAGGTCTCAGCATGTTTAAGTGCCCTTTGGAATCTAAACAATAAGTCAATAAATTGAAATAATAGTAAATTCTCAATATAATCTTTACAGACTATTTACAGCCCAAAATCCCTCAAGAGTGATCATTACAAAACAATAGTAGAAGAGATATTTCACCTAGATACATTTAATCTCAGCATTCTCCCCACAAATGGCACTCACCAGGGCTGCAGGAGTTGGAGTTGGCCTTGTTGTTCCAGACGACTAGTTCTTTCTGTGGTGTCTGCCTGACCTCCTCTTTCACCAGCACAGTCCTGATGTCACGCTGTGTGGAGTCTGCACCGCTCTCCTCCATCTTGATGTCTTGGTTCTCATTTTCACAATCCTATTAAAAAAAACATTCTAAAGATGCTAACGAAGACCATGCAAGCAAGTTTCTACCACAAGGATTACACCGACGGCCAGCTGCCCTGGCGAACACTGACTGGCAACCATGAACCATTGGCTCCAACAACTACCACCAATTATTCACGCACACACACGACTCACACAAGGCAATGTGGGTGCCAACCTGATGTATATATTCTAAAAAAGAACAAAGGTTGTAAACTTAAAATTATTGGAACAACATTTCTACCTGTGTTTGGCTCGTCTCTTTATCCACAGAGGTGATGACAGTCGTCACTACTTTCTCCAAAACAATCCCTGGAGACTCCTCCCTTTCCCGTTCACAATGTTCTTGTTGAAGCGGTTCTTTTGCCGTTTCAGTGCTGGATTCCTGTTCCACTGTTTTGTCCCTTTCCAACACAGCTGAGATTCCATCTTTTTGAACAGATTTTTCCGCAGTGATCTGAAGTTCTGAAACTTGATTACAACTGGAAACTGAATCTAAGGCCGGTTTTTCGCACAAAATCTCGCAGTCTGTTTGCTTGACATGTTCCATCTCTTCACCACACACCTCTGCTTTCTCATGAGACATTCTTCTGAATCCGTTTTTATTTCTCTCAATTACTGTTTCTTCTTGCTCTTCTTTGATCTCGGATCGATGCGTGGAGCAAGAAACATTCTGTAGTGTTGGATCATTTTGCTCGCCTGTAATGCCTTCACCATCAGCAGAAACTGGTGCATTTTCTTTGTCTTGCAAATTGTCCTCCTGAGATGGAGAAGCTTCGTCTTTCCCGTTCTGTTCACCCACCGTGACCATATCTACATCGAGAAGCAAGTCTTCTTTCACGTCTTCATCAGTGGAGGCCTGGACTTGCATGTCTGTGCTGTTGTCATTTGTAGTAGCATCTAATTGAGCAGATGGCGAGATGGTTTTGGATCGGCTAACATGGTTAAGGTCTTTTCCACTCTTGTCATAGTAAACTTCAGCCAAAGATGGAGACGCATTCAACGCTGGAAATGTGACGCATCGTTCCCTCTCCAACTCTGTCAGTTCAGGTTCCGTATCCCAGCCTGTGTTCAAACTACAATTGTCTTTCCCGACTTGCTTCGGCAGCTGATAAAGATCTATCCTTGTCACGCCTTCGAAAAGATTTCCGTTTGTGAAGGTAATCCCAGGACTCTCGACAATATGCACTTCTTCCTTATGGCTTTGAAGCAGCAAAACATCACTGAAGCGCTGTCCACAATCCTTGCACTCAATGGATTTTTTAGATGTTATGACTCCCTCCATTTCCACCTTTGAAGAGGGCTTTCGCTTCCTTGTAGGCTTTGGTAGAGGAGGTAATGGCTCTTCTTGCTTTTTTGATGCTTGGAGAGAAGACAGCAAAGTAATGGCCTTCTTAGACCTACCACCTTTTTTCTTGCTTTTGGGAGAGATCTCATTCGAAGGACTGGCAGGAATGTCCTTTTCTTTTGGGGAGGTTTGGGTCTCCTGTGTTCTACCAGAAGTCTGTAAAGGGTCTAGCTTGTGGACCTTGAGTTGGGGTTGTTTGTGCCCCTTCAGCAGCAGTAGACACTCTTTTATAGGCAAAGTATTTTTATCCAGAGATTCAGTCTGTGATTGGGGAGTCACTTGATCCTTCTGTTTGTCTATTGGTTTCTGTTTTATGTTTTTTGCGTTCTTGTTCTTGATATCTTTCGATGGAATTGTTTTCTTCTGTCTCTTTTTAAAAACAGGAGAAGCTACGCCAACATGCTTCTCGTTCTTTTTTGTCTCTGCCTTTGCCTTTTTCTTCTTGTTTTTACCTTCTTTTTGCTTCGGCACCTGCTCGATGTCTTCTGAGCATGCAGGCACTTCTATCTCGGCTGTCAAATCAGCACTTGTCGTTTTTTTATCCTTTTTACCTTTTTTCTGCATTTTGCTTTGACTCTGAGATTTTGTTTTTGCATCTCCCTTTGACAATTGCTTTGATGGCTTGCTTGCTTTATTGCTTTGCTTTCCCTTAGTCGGTGGACCAAATTTCACAACAAGATGTGACTTTTTGGCCTTCTTACTTTTTACAGCCTTACTCGGAAATTCATCGTATACGGACGATATAAATTCTTGCATATGTCCTTGAAAGAAAAATGCTTTTGGCGGCTTTCTTTTACGTACTTTCACTAGCTCTTGAGCAGACATTACATTCATAGGGATCTCAATCTTTTCACCTGTATCAAGTTTGGAGACCTCTTCAGTGACATTCATGGGGTTTGGTTCAACAACTTTATCCTTCGTTTCTTGTTCATCCATTTTACTTGGCACTTCTGTAGCATCTTTTGGATCCATACAGTTGCTCAGCAAAAGAGAATCTTGCTCGGCCTGTCCAACAGTTTCCGTTTGGTATTCACACAGTGTTTCTTGTGTATTATAGGTGCAAACTGGGCCGATGTGTTGCTCCGTTTGCAATGGTAGCATTTCTAGCTCTACTGTAGACAACAGCGACTGCACAGACATGCTAGTCTCCTGCTCGCTTATCGACGTCTCTGCTAGCGCAATTGGCATGTTGTTACTTTGGGGGAACGTGGATTGTGGTATTTCAGTTTGAAGAACATTCCCAGATTGTTCCAGCTCTGCAGTCGGTGTCAGTGACGGAGTAAGTTCATGAACGATAGTTTTATTAAGAGACGACGCAAGATTTTGTCTCAATATATTGTTATGACAAATGTCTTCTGTCTGCTGCAGCAGTGGGTTTGAATCTTGTTGAAAAATCACTTCTGAAATGGTATTAGTTCCTAAATCTGACTCCAACGAAGAAAAAGACGGATTTATAAGCTGTCCATCAGGCGTGATTGGCTCTAAAATAATAGTTTGCTCCATTGGATCTATGATGCCATCATTTGTCTTTGAATTCAACCCCATAAAATCATCTGGCCTTTCGGTGTTCGAAATTGCTTGCGGAACTTCTAATGGTGGAGCGTCAGGTGGGACTTGCCCCAAAATGACTACTTGATTTACTTTTTGTACATTCCCCAAAGATTCTATAAGTTTACGAAGCTGTTCTGTGTCGATGTTGGCGTCTACTTTCTGCAAAGGTCCATTGGGTCCGACTTGGAGCAAAGACGGCTGGGAGATGGATATGGGCGTAATGATGGGTGTGCAGCGCTTCATTATCTGTCCACTCGTTTTGTTCAAAGCTGATTTGGACAGGTGCTTTTTCTTCATGTGACAATGCCGTGTCTTTGTGCTTTTGAAAGTTGCTTTGCAAACGGAGCAGCTGTAAACCGGCAAAGGTGCACCTAGAAGAAGCAACAAAAATAGACATGTATAAATATGTATAAATTAAGAATGTGTCTTTTAAAGTGTTTCTCGCTCTCCACTAGTTTGAGGGGTTTACAAGCTGTGAGCCAATTATCAACATTATAACAAACTATATATTTCACTTTGAGTGTAATCAAGTTTCATATTGTAAGTTGAATTAAATGTTTCACCTGTATACTTGAATATCTTTTAGTGTCCCATCCACAGTCACAATGTTCAACTTAATACATAGTCATAACACCTACTCACTTCCATAAGAATACACTAATTCCACAATCCAAATAAGTGTACAAATAAACCATACCTTCTATCTTGGGCAGGTGTGAGTCCAGGTGCTTCTGCAGGGCTTTGGGCATGGTGAAGCGCTTGCCGCACTCTTTGCACACGTATGGGCGCTCTCCCGTGTGCGTGCGGCAGTGATACTTCAGTAGCGTCAGAGTTTTGCATGGCTTCCCACACTGAGTGCAAGTGTAACCGTGCTGCCCGAAATGCACCTTCTTGTGGACGGACAGCTCGGACAGTTTGCTGAAGGTCTGTGCGCAGATGGGACACTTGAAAGGCTTCTTCTCCACGTGGGCCTTCTGGTGGGTCATGAGCTCTGTGGAGTTGGTGAAATGGCGGTCGCAGACGTAGCAGGCGAACAGTGCGTTCCGCAGGATGGACTGCTCGTATTCCGCAGGGTGGCTGGACTTCAGGTGGCGCTCTTTGCTCTTGTGGTCGCTGAATATGATGTGGCATTCCAAGCACTGGAGAGAAATTTGGGATGCTGTAAATGAGGAGAAAAGCCAGTTAGGAGCACTGTAACAACTACAGTACATGTATTAATACAGGTTTATGGTTACAGGAGGAATGAAGGGTTGTGGCAGGGATTCTAAGCTTTTCACACAAAGCCTTCAGATCAAACAAATATGTCTAAATTTGGCAAAAAAAGACATGGAATTGGGTTTATAAAAATGTTCAAACAACCATTTGTTCTACTATCAGACTCCATGAAGCTGCTCTCAAGGGGCATCTTTTCGGCTGGATTTTATTCAAATGTATAAGAAATTGTTTATTCACTAAACTGAGAGCTAAACCAACTAATCAGAAAGAATAATCATACAAGGAATTGTGTAGCAAAATAAACGCACTATAACTGACAACGGAACAGTTCTGTCCGTCCACATACTTCATAAACAAGGCTGCAGGAGCTTCTTTGCTTATTTAGTCTCCAAAACATTTGGACCATGCATTGTGGGATGAACAAAGGATATCATAACCTATTTATAATATTGTACTGCTATATTATTGTAGTGTCATTTATATTAGACACTGTATATAGAACACTATATATGAGAAAATAAAGAGACAAGACAAAAAGCAAACAACAGTTTCTCAGATTTCCTCCTGTTAGATTTTCTTGTTTTCTTTTACGCTGGAATTTCATATCCACTGCTCTAAATGTTGTAACTAAAACCACAGTGCGGAGAGTTAAAACAGAATACAGTGTGGCAGAGATAAGGGGGTGAAAAAACAAGGAAACAAGATAATATACACCAACCAACAGAGAATATACAACAACACCATCAGAAGAAACATCTACTTTTCATCAATATATTTATCTATTTTTGGATATCATTTGTACTATAATATTATTCATATGTTATTTTTTTTGGACACATAGTCCACAGAACAGTAAAAAGACAGGACACAGTAACAGATCTAAAAGATATATGTCTATCAATTATAATAAAGGTCTCTCTTGAATTCATCATATGCTGCTATCATTAATCAGTGATCTTTGGGTGAAACGGAAATTGATGTCTTACCATTATAAAGGGTAAAAAAATTGAAGTTTAAATTAAAGCTGGAGAAACTAACTTACAAAATACACGTTGTTTGTCCCCAAAGAATAAAATATTGTGAACCCTGTGAGTCACTATTTGACTCTTTGGACTGGGAGGTGATTGGCTGAGTGAGGGTGGTCCTCTCACTTTTAAACTGATCGAAGGAAGTGACAGAGGTCAATAACACGTGCAGATGAAAACTAGCAATAGAAGCAAACTGTTTTGAGAGAGAGAAATTAGTTAGATGGATTTATTACATAGCTCCGTTGTTTGGGATTTGACAGTCAGGTACCCCAGATTAAACTTTTTAGCATGTTCACACTTACATGAGAGAGGGAGAGGCTTGGACATGTCGATCTTCAGTGGATCTGTCATAGCCTTTTTAGACGGAACATACTTCTTTCCCACTTTTGCTGCTTTTTCCTGTTTTTTTAGTTTTGAGTGAGTCTTTTTGGTTTTCACTTCATCCTCGAGATGAGAGCGGTCCAACTGAGAAACCGTATTGGGTTCTGGTTGGTTTTCTGACTGGGCAGACCTCATGTTTGGGGTTGGCTCTGTTGTTATTGTGTGCTCTTCAACCTCGTCCAATGCTATTATAAGAGTGTCATCGTGATCAACTTCACACAAACTGTCCTCTTCAACCAGACATGGTTCTTGCAGAATCATCCGCGCTTCACTTTCCATAGACGAGTCCATAGTGTCTGTGTTAGAGCAATTCATCTGAACTGAAGTCTGCATCTTGCCCAGCTGCTTGGATCATGAGTTGAAATGACTGTAAAACAACATTTAAATCTTTAAAACATAGAACATATATTTTGAATGTGTATATTAGAGGGACAGGTCAAACTTGTAAAAATGAATCGAAAAATGTTAATATTACGATTCATTTTTTACAAGTCTAATATAATCTAATATACAAGTCAAGAGTAGAGAAGTAGAGAATAGAGTAAGGCATAGTAAGAGTCAACATAAAGCCAAAGCAATTTTCTAGTCTGTGACTTCATAAAAGGATTCAGATTCTGATTACATGCAAAGTGACATATGCCAAGCTTTTGTTTGTTATAACATTTACGAGTACAGCTTACAGTCCATTTCCAGAATGTTGATTGTTCTATATTAATTACAAAATAAACACAGTAAATAAAGCTACCCATGCCTTAAAGCCTCTAGCTCCTGTCAATTCCTGGGCCGCCTTGCATTAAATTCACACGTGCAAAATTCACAGAACGACTTAATAATGTTATAATTTGAAAATAGAAAACACATTTTTTGACAGGATATGGTCTAACACAATCATTAGCAATAAGTGTGGAGACATCGTGTTGGTTTTATATTTCATTACAATATATTATGATGGTTAAAATATGGCCAAAACAACTACATCTTTGGCTGGGTGTGTACATTTTCAAGCACAACGGTGATACGACTAAATACACACTTTACAAATCGAGGTTGCCTTAAAAACTTTGAAAAGGCGTCTTTGTTAGTGAGGCGGCGACAGCTGGTGGGCAATGAATGGGCTTACCCCAGTTGTGTTATAAATGACTGGGACAAAGGCTGTGTCACAAAAAGACCTAATATTTGGTATGTTTTTAATGACAACTGCTATTCCACATTATTACTAATCGCTTATATACATTTGTGAACATTAAAATTGTTAGCTGGTTAGCTTTTACATTGATTTACGCTAATATCGCAGTGGAATTGCCCTCGTCATAATTCCAAGCCGCATAGTGTAGTTACGCATCGGTGAAAGAATAAATATGCAAAAATATGTGGCAAAATGAAATGATAGGAGTGAGAGTTACCCGTTTACATTAGAAAGAGCAGCCCAGCGCCCAAATACATCTCCTGCACAAAGCGACAGAGGCGCTGAAGACCGGACGACGTGACGTCAACACGACAACACTGCAAGGGATTGTGGGAAGTGGAGTTTCTCGGGTTTTCACCATAGACTGATTTTCTCATACTGCCTTATCTGTATATAGGTTTGCTTCCCACTGGCAATAAGTTTTACACTAATGATTGTATTGTCAATCTAAAAGTTTAGAATGTATATTTTGTTCAAATTGAACAATAGAAATCTTAAGTGTGTAACTTAGAATAAAAAACTAGAATGTGCTGTGCCACAAAAAAAAAAGTGTAAAAACTGTAAGGAGGATCCATCTTCACAAACCTGACTCCTACTTGCCCCTTCCTGCTGCTTTAAATGGTAACTTACATTTTGAACTACACTTTGCTTGCACTAGAATACACAATAAATAAACTTGTGTGGCATACAGAGGGTGTGGTTGAGTTTCAAAATCCAAGGGTCACAATCAAATTATAATATAAGGGGTATCACAGGTGAGTATATGACAAGAGACGTGAATAAAGTTTAAAATGTTTATTGATAAGTTAGATCCTACTAGAAAAACAAAATAAAAAAGGAGTTAGACAAACTACATTTAGGAAAGGTTAAATTATTTAAACAAATTAAACTGAAAGTAATAACATTTATTCAAAAGGTATTAAAATAGTAAAGCTGAATCTAAAAAGGCCTAAATGCAAAAAATGTGAATGCCAAAACAAAAAGGGCAGATGCCAAAGCTATCTGGGGCCACCGGTGGTGAGCATGCCACTCGAGGAGGTGCCCAGGGGTGTTACACAGAATACTCACAAAATACTTACAGCAAATGAAAAGTGCAAACCAACTCGTGAACCAAGTGCACTATATCACATGCAAATGTGGGGGACCACACCAATGTGCCGAGCCCAGCCACCAGGGAGCGCCCAGTGTCGCTAAAAGAAAATGTAAAAATTGTTAAAAACAAATATGACGGACCCAGTTGGTTTTGACAACCTGTTGCTGCAAAAAATAAATGTAAATCAAAAGATGTAATTAAAAACTAGTCAAAGAAACTACAGATTAACAAAGAACATAAAAAGCAAAAGTATAAAGCAAAGAACAAACTAGAGCAAAAGCAAATAGCACAACAAATAACAGCAACCAAAGCAAAACAGCAGAAACACAAAACAGATAAAACATATAACAGCAAAAATAAATAAAAAAACAGCAGGTTAGCCACCCTTGACGGTATGGAACCAGCCTTCCACAGCAGACTTAATTAATGCCTACCCACTCCAATCAAGCAATACAGCAGTAAGACCTCAGACAAATGCAGGAGCTGAGAAAGACCACAGCCGCAGAGCACACCAGCAGCACAAAATATCTGCCCTCTACCCCCAGGTGCTATTAATGGGCTAAGAAACTGGGGTGGGGCAATGGGTGGAGCCTAGAGGCAAAACTACAGGCCCTGTCTGCCTGTTGTTGCCAAATGTAAAACTTTTACACCTTATTATTTTCAAGATTGAGTGTTTATACTTGTTATTGATGCTAGAGTAAGAGATTTTGTTTTGTTTTAATTAGTATAGCTATTGTTCACTTAACTTGTGCCGTGTGCTCCTCTTTCCTACTGTTTTATAACTTGTGATGCAACACTGAAATTTCCCCACTGTGGGATGAATAAAGGATCTCTTAATCTTTACTTGCTTCTTGGACTGTTACACAATGTGGCGTTTACCATATACAGTGGGGCAAAAAGGTATTTAGTCAGTCACAAATTGTGCAATTTCTCCAACTTAAAAAGATGAGGGAGGCCTGTAATATTCATCATAGGTATATCTCAACTATGAGAGACAGAATGAGAAAACGTTTTTTTAAAGAATGTATTTGCAAATTATGGTGGAAAATAAGTATTTGGTCATCCACAAATAAAGATTTCTGGCTCTCACAGACCTGCAACTCCTTCTTTAAGAGGCTATTTTGTCCTCCACTAGTTAGCTGTATAAATGACACACGTTTGTACTCGTTATCAGTCAGACTATCAGACAGTCACACTCCAAACTCCACGATGGCCAAGACCAAAGAGCTGTTAAAGGACACCAGAATCACAATTGTAGACCTGCACTAGGCTGGAAAGACTGAATCTGCAATAGGTAAGCAGCTTGGTGTGAAGAAATCAACTGTGGGAGAAATTATCACACACAAAAAAAAGGAAGACATACAAGACCACTGATAATTTCCCTCGATCTGGGGCTCTACGCAGGATCAAAATTGTCACAACAGTGAGCAAAATCCCAGAACCACACAAGTGAATGACCTGCAGAGAATTGGGACCAAATAACAAAGGCTACCACACTATGCCGCCAGGGACTCAAATCCTGCAGTGTCAGACGTGTCCCCTGCTTAAGCCAGTACATGTCCAGGCCTGTCTGAAGTTTTCTAGAGAGTATTTAGATGATCCAGAAGAGGATTGGGAGAATGTCATATGGTCAGATGAAAGCAAAATAGAAAATGTTGGTAAAAACTCAACCTGTCGTGTTTGAAGGAGAAAGAAAGTTACGTCCAAAGAACACCATATCTACAGTGAAGCATGGGGGTGGAAACATCATGCTTTGGGGATGTTTTTCTGCAAAGGGACCATTGCAACTGATCCGTGTGAAGGAAATAATGAATGGGGCCATGTATTGTGAGATTTTTAAAGAAAACGTACTTTCCATCAGCAAGAGCATTGAAGATGAAACATGGCCGGCTCTTTCTGCATGAAAATGATCCCGAACAACACACCACCCAAGTAACAAAGGAGTGGCATCATAAGAAGCATCTCAAGGTCCTGGAGTGGCCTAGCCAGTCTCAAGATCTCAACCCCATAGAAAATCTTTAGAGGAAGTCGAAAGTCCATGTCGCCCAGCGACAGGCTCAAAACATCACTGCTCTAGAGCAGATCTGCATGGAATGGGCCCCAAAAATAGTGTGTGAAGACTTACAGAAAACATTTGATTTCTGTCATTGCCAACAAGGGGTACATAAAAGTATTAAGATGAACTTTTGTTATTGACCAAATACTTTCCACCATAATTTGCAAATATATATATATTTAAATCAGTGAGTGTGAATTTTCTGGATAAAAAAAAGAAAAAAACATTCTGTCTCTCATAGTTGGTGTACCTACGGTGAAAATTACAGGCCTCCCTCATCTTTTTAAGTGGGAGATTTTGCACATTTATTTATTTATTTACATAGCACCATGCAGGTAATTTTCCGCATCAGAAAGTACATAGTGAGTTTAATACAACATAATTACAGAAAGAAAACAAGGCAAATGTAATGAAGGATGAAACTGCAAAAAAGTCACAATTTAAAAGAAAAGTCTAAACTGCTCATCCAGGTGAGGTTTATAAGTGTCATGATTCTTTGTAGTCTGAAATGGGTTGTTCAGCAACTATTTTGGCAGAAAGCTGTAATAGGTAACACGGACGTTTGTGAATAATAGTAAAAAAAAGAAAAGACTAAACAATATCTTGAATATTACATGGCAAATTTGACACCAGAGACATTTCAAGCAAAACACCTACAGAAATAAAAAACATTGTAATAGATGTGCACAATTTGATAATGCTAGGAAGAGAAAAGCAGGATTTCAATGATAACGCCACACCTACAAAAACCTACACCTAAGTAATGAATGATTACAAATCATTTTTCAAAGTCGGGGTACCAAAGTATGCGATAAAATCCATCCACCTAGTTCCCCTTTAACGGTTTTCTTTATAGAGAAACAAAAAAATGAATAGGCAGTTAATCATTTAAAAATATGAAGAATTGAACTCAAGATTTATTCACATTTGTAACATTTACTTAACATGACTTTCCGTTGGGACAAACAATATGGCTTATTTATTCGATACACCAGTTTACATAAATATTTTAGACATGAGGAACTGAATACCTTTATAACATGGGGATCTCTCCGGCCGCATGCTGAATGTAATGGTTGTGAAGCTGGGTCACTTCTTCAAAGCTCTGATCACAATCGCAGCATTCCCACTCCAACCGCTTGGCTACAGGTCTGCCGTACTCGCGGTAATCCTCCACGCTCTGTGGGGTCTGCTTCATTGCCCCAGCCAGTGTCTGTGCAGTGCTCTGGAGATAAAGCCTTTCCACGTTATTGAGGCGACGGATTGTGCGCGTGGACGTCCTGTTCGTTTTAAAATGGACTTTCCTGTGTGCGTACATACTGGCCGATTGTGAAAAGCCTTTGCCGCAGTAGGTGCAAATGTGTGGCTTCTCCCCCGTATGAGTGTTGTAGTGGTCATTGAGTTGTTTTAAAAGCCGAAACATTTTGTTACAGATGGTGCACTGAAACTTCCTACATTTGTGGCGGTACATGTGGTAATTGAACGTTTCCTGTTGGCTGAAGCCCCGGGCGCACGAGAAACACCAGAACGGTCTTTCTTTGTGGAGCTTCATGTGCCCGATCCAGGAGTTGGCAGAGGCGAACCGTTTGTTGCACTGGTCACATCTCAGGTTTGAGACACACTGTGGGCTATGTTTGACATGGTAAAAGAAATTCTCCTGAGAAGAATAGGCGCTGCCACAGTCAGCACATTTGTATGATTTAAGCTTAGATTTAGAGATAGCTTTATCTGCCATTTTGTGCATAATCAAATGTTTTTTATAAGCCTCTACATGTAGATATGTTTTAGCGCAAAATTTGCACTTGTGATATGTTCGTGGCTGTCTTATTGGAGAAGTGGGCTTGTCAGAGTTATCAGTCTCCGAGGACTCAGAGTCTGACGATTCTGACTCAGAGTCAGATGTGGACTCAGACTCAGAGGAGTTGGACTTTGAGGACTCTGACTCATGCGTTACAGAGGACTCGGACTCACTGCTCTTATTGGCTTCATCAGGCTCAACTTCAAGATGCAAAGAGGCACTTTCTGCAAAACACACAACTGTCATTAGATTAACAGCATTATGTGATCATTCAAGTCATTGGTCATTTAATGGTGATACCAGCCCCTATAGGACACTGTACAACCATCTAAACGCCGTAATTACAGCCTCTATCCCCTTAACCTTTAGAGCCAGGAGGATTCCCCTGCCCTCATTGTGTCTATGAAAAAATCTATACGTGACCAGAAATGTACACCCACTTCAATCAAGGAAGTAACTCTACAATAGGGGAGCAAAAAGGATATACAATGATATATAAGGAATACAATTGCATTTTATGAGAGAAATTTCTATTTAGATCAAACCTAAAACCAGTGTGTAACCCAAACCACATAAAAATGACTTAAGTCTCTCAGCATATAGATCACTATTTATTGTTACATTATGTACAGCTTTTCCCAGATCATAAGGTCCGACAAGTCATACAATTCTGCGGTCATCTGAAAAAAAACATAGGTCATCTTTAAGTGTAACATACGCTCACAGAGTATCACTACAACAAAAGGCCCATCTACAAATCATGTTTGTTCATTCATTCGTGAGGTTCGCATAGAGAACAAGGCATTTATAGACAATTGCTTTGACATTGTTCATAGTTAAAGTGGCTATTTCATTAGAACCAAAAGTTAGAAAGCAGATGACAAAAACTTCCAACACAAGTTCTGTAATACAAACAATGATTGGGTCAATATTAAACTTCAAAAACAAGTTATCCTAAATGAGATTACTTTTATGCATAGATATCAGGAATGGGACAAGAATGTCCAAAAGCTGTAAAAGTAGATTTTAATTCTAACAAAAGCAGTATCACGCAATAGAATTGTGATTTTTTTATAATTTTTTCTGAACTAGCAGTAACTTTGCTCAAGAAAGTCACGCCCTAAGTTAAAATCTCAACAGAAAAAAAAATAGCCAATATTTTTGGACATTTAGATTATGGACAGCAGGATTGTAAAACCGTTAAAAATTCTTTTGAGGTGTCTGCTCCTGAGATCATTTCCAGCACACTGACATTTTAAGCCTTGTTTCAATAGAAATTTGGGACACAATTTATTTTTTGTAAATAAGTTATTTATTGCTTCAATAAACAACTCTTTCAAGAGTTGAATGCAAATACTGCGTAGAACTCTAACAACACAATTCTACTTCTTGCATTAAGGGTTCTACTCCCATTCCTAATAAACCCATACAAGCAGTAGGGAGGTACCGATCCAGCTTTTTCTTGCCTGATCCCGTCAAGATCTGCAGACATGAAGCAATTCCAGTGACGGACTAGCAAAATCTTTTTCACTCATACAACAAGCAAAAATAAACACGTTTTTATCTGATTATTTAACTGTGTGCGTTTTATTTTAAAATATGACATTATGGGTCAATATCTGCCAGTGAATACTCTTATTACATCAGCTTAACCAATTAAACAATTGCCAGTAGATGTTTCAGTATTGGTGCATCCCTACTAGTGTTTCACATTTTACCAACAAAATACATGAAAACAATTCAATCCCATTTTCATTAGTATTGGTTCATAGTCCCAAATCAAATCCACGACGTAAACATTGTTCCTCATTCTTAACATTCACGACAGTTTCAGCAAAACTCCGGCCTTTTGCACAGTAGCGGCACATTCTTGGTGATGCTCAATTAGAGCTTCCACGTTATCAAAAGAGCTTGGACAGGACGAGCAGTGGTAGGAGTTGGCATAACAAAACTCTGCATGTTTCTCTACCGCGGTCGCAGTTAAGAAGTCTTTGCCGCAGTTGGAGCACTCGTGAAGACTACGCGCCTTGTCTGAGGCCACCGGATTGTTTCCTGTTGGACCAGCTCTGTCAGTCGAATGAGTGTTAGAAGCTGTCGTGGCCTTGTTGATTTTAAGCCGGAGCTCGTTTGGGACGCTACCCCTGATTTTATCGTGCCACGCAAAGTGCTGCTGGAGGTGGCGCTCAGTCCAAAAACTACAGCAACAAAGCGCGCATCTAAACGGACGTATCCTTGCCTTGGCCCGGTGGTTTCCCAAATCCTGCTGGGATGAGAAGACTTTCCCGCAATTGTCACACTTGAAGATGTAAACATTTTTACAATAGAAACTGGAACTGCTGCCAGTGTTAACAATTGATATAGATTCAGTGGGTAATGGATTGTCCGTATTTGTGGCAACTAGATTTCTTTCCTCTAGCCTCTGATTTTCCAGGACAGTTGGGTTTGTCATTTCATTGTCACTGCTCCTGCTACCAGAGTGCACCTGCCACTTGTGAGCACGGAGGCCTCGGATATTTCTGAATGACATAGAGCAGAGATAACAGCGGGGGAGTGTAGACAGTTTAAAGGTTTCAGATTCACTATTCTGTTCTTCAGGGCTATTATTTGAACTGTCTAAATGGCAATGGACAGTCTTAATGTGATCATCCAAAAGTGAAGTGGTTTCAAACCTTTGGGTGCATTCAGTGCATGGAAACGTCTCTGTGACCACTACAGGAGAAGCTTGTTCAGGCTCATAGTTCTGACAGTTGTTAAGTGCCTGGTGACGCTGAAGCACCAAGAGGTTAAAGAAGGTTTTGTGACACCTGTCGCACTGGAATGAGTCAGAGTCAGACTTCTTCAACTCTGGGGAAACCTCCTCTGAGTCTTGTGAAGGTTTAGAGCACGGCTTGTCTCGATGCCACCTTTTGTGAGTGCCAAGAGCAGAGTTGGACACAAAGCGACGGCCACAATCTGTGCAGCTAAATTTCCCCGAATCCTCCACTTTGGATTTTTTAACCAAAGCTTTTGCCTTTGTCAAAGCTTTGTGGCTCCCTATGTGAATTCTTTTATGAAAATTCAATGCTCCAATCACTGCAAAGCTTCGCTCACACAATTTACATTTGTATTTTAACTCATCACCATCACCATTTTCTAAATGGTTTTCCTTCAGTTCAACAGAGTCATCCTCACTTTTAATGACTTTAACTAAGGGCTGCTCACTGCTCTCAGTCTTAATGCATCGTTTCTTATGTGCACGTAAAGATGACTTTTTATTGAAAAGGGCAAAGCAGCTTGGACACTGAAGCTCCTCCACAGGGTCTCCAGACCTGTGAGAAGGTGGCGAGTATCCGCTCTCATAACCATGGCTCTTCATGTGAAACTGAAGGGCTTTAGCACGAGAGAACCGCTTCCCACAGTCCGGACAGCTATATGTGTTCTTCTGGAGCTGCTCCACCTGGTATTGAAAAGACTTGACTGGTGGTGGAAGTAGTTCACTATTATGTACGGCCTGGTGCCGGAAAAGGCCAGACAGGAGACGGAAGGAACGGTTACAAATGTCACATTTGTGATTTCCATTTTCATGTTTCCGCATGTGTAAGGCCATAATCCCTTTGTGACGAAACTTCCTGCCACAAACAGGACAGGCTACCTTAAAACTTGTCCTGGAGTGTCCATTGGTAAATGATCCTCCAAAACCCTTCCTCAGTCTGAGTTCTGTACACTGCGTTGGATCCAGTTTATGATGAGAGAAGGCCCCCAAGGACCAAAATCCCTTCCCACACTGTTCACAATGATAGACTTTGGGGCCTAGGAGCATTTTCTTAGGATTGTACTCCTTTTTAGAATCTAAACTGTCCTTTTGTGAAGGGTGAATGTCAACATTGTTATCCTTTTCTGCATGTGGGAAAATGGCCATGATCTGTGGTTCCTGTAAATTCTTACTTAAGGGGACATCTTCACAGGAGCTTAAATCAAGAGGTTCAATTGTTTCTGACTGACCTTGAGTCCCATGTCGTTTTCTGCGAATGTCATGCCACATTCTGTGAACACGCAGAGATGACGGATTTGTGAAGCACCGGTAACAATCAGGGCAGTCAAGTCTCTCTTCTGCTCCAGGCTCCCCATAGTCAATCTGTACAATTTTTAAATTCATGTTAGGTTTGGAGACTACTTTCTGGTGAATAGCCAAGTCCCCATCCTCTCTTACCTCATAATCAGATTCACAAACAAGCTCCAGGTCCGAGTTATTATCTTCAGACTCACTTGAACTACTACTACTACTGATCACTTTTACAATCAGATCACCAGGTTCAAGGGTCTCGTCATCTTCAGCCTTGATTGCCTGTGTACCGCTCTCAGGAGAGAAGAACCCACGGATGCCAGTTTGCTCAGTGGCTTTGCGTTCAAACTGTGCATGCATACCTGGCTGAGGTAGCTTAGTTTCATCCATTTCATTGAGGTGATTTAGTTCATGTGCATGTAGAGCCGAGGCCCTAGAAAACTTGAGCCCACAAACTTTACATTCACACGTTTTCTTTTGCACCTGGTCCACCTGGTGAAGAAAGGACTTTGACGGGATGATTTGGGAGTGTTTAAGTCCTTGGTGTCGCTCGTAAAAGTACAGAGTTGTAAATGTTTTGTCGCATTCATCGCATTTATAGTTTTTCCCCTTGTGACTGTGCTCATGGCTGGCAAGAGCAACATGACTCGAGAACGACTTGGGACATTGAGAACACTTAAACCCTTTCTTTCGCCTTTCATACACACCGTTATCGAAGCATTGTCCGTTGTGGCTAAAACGCTTGTGAGTGTTCAGCTTCATCAAGGTAGAAAACTTTTTACCGCACAAGCATGTAACGCTTCTGCCACTGTCAGCTTCCAGGTGCTTGCGTTCCGCTTTCTGCTCTGGAACAAGGGCTTCAGGTGAACTACGGCACTTCTTCTCCTTCTTTACCAGCTTCCCCTCATGGCATCTTCGGTGAGCATCCAGAGCAGACATGCGCGAGTAACTCCTGCCGCAATACTCGCACTGAAACGATTTCTTTTCTAAGTGTTCCAAGTTATGAAAAACTGATTTTGATGGTTGCATGTGCGTCCGCTGATGGTTGATGAAGTAACCAAACTTTCCGTACGTCTTACCACATTCTTCACATTTATAGGCATGTTGTGAGGTTATTCCAGTTTGTTCAGACAAGTCTTTTGAAGTTGTTTGAGCATTTCTGCCGCCGTCCTTTGAATAAATGTGTGGCAGTGACTTGTCTGCCTCAGTCTTGTCGGTGGTCTCTCTGCAGTCGCCGTCATGCTCTAGAGCATGCTGCTGAAGATGCTGGAGATAAGTCTCCTCTTCTGTGAATGCGTCTCCACACTTCTGACAGGAGAAAACGCCCTCTCCTGGAAAAACACAGGGAAAAGAACAGTTTATGTGTTTCTTCAAAGTTCGAATGAGGAAGAGAGCTGGAAGACATGATAGTCAAGAATATAGGTACATAATACGTATTGCTAATTTGCTATGGCATACATTTGAGAATTCACAATGAGTGCACATATATTTGTTTTAAAACTAAACTGCAAAAGATTTTACTGATACAAAATAAATACACAGGAGTAGCAATGCACAAAACTAAAGTGATGATAATATGCCAGAGAACATGTTAAAATATTTCCATAGATCTGCACATGGAGGCAAAAAGTTAGACACACACACACACACACAAAGAACATTTCAAACTTCAGCTCAGCGCTTCCCATATAAATTCCCATATAAATTTTCAATATAAATTTTTTCCACACCAACAGTAAGAAGAACTACAATGACACACACACACACACACACACGCATGCACGCACGCCATTTCTTATTAAAGTTGCCCTGCAACTGAAATGGGAGTCTACAACATGAATGAAGCCTATAAATATGTTTTGGAAAAAAATACTAATTATTAACTCATTGACTGCCAGCCCATTTCAAAACAGGTGAGTTAAATTGGATGTGAAAAAATAATTATACAGTGTCTTCGCCAGTGCTTTCTGAGCCCCTGGGAGAAAAAAGGCTCTCTAGAGCAGTGTCTCCCAAAGTGGGGTCCGCGGCCCCCTGGTGGGCCGCGAGGGTACTGCAGGGGGGCCGCGGGAGGTCATAAAAAAAAAAATAATAATAATATAATTATTTAATGTTAAATGTATAATGTTTTGTTTGTAATATTAAAATATTTGTGTTCATTATTTGACTTGAATAATCCACTGTAATCATTTTTGTATTACAATGTTTGTAGCAGAGGCTATTTCCCCAAAATAAAATAACCAGAAGAGTCTATTCTTAATGTTGTCTTCTTGGTTATTATTTTGGGGGGCCACGCAGACCCGTCAGATTTTTAAGGGGGCCTCGGTGTTACTGAGTTTGGGAATGGCTGCTCTAGAGACACAGACAGACAAAATGTACACCAATCCAATAGGAACAATCCCTGGACAGCTTGCTGCAAGTGTGCCCACCATAGCACAGCATACATTTGAAAAATACACCGAGAACCTAAAGTCCTGGATGGACTATGGCAGCCTAAGGAAGTTTGCATGTCTTCCACTGAAGCTCATCTAAAACTCACTAAAATAAAGCTGGGGTGAAAAACTTTTCCCTCCAATTAAGAATGGATGTTTGTTGTGCCCAAGTTTGTTTTCAAGAGTAAAGTGAAGAAATAGCAACAGGCTGTCCTCATCCTATTACATTTTTAAGGTTTGCATACTTTTAGGAGCCCTGTGAATCACTATGACACTTTGAGCTGATCTAAAGTCGTGAGGGGGTGAAATATTTTCTTCTTCCAAGGGGGGTCTGGGAAAAAAATATTGAGAAGCACCGCATTTATGTAATGTGTGTATTTGCAAAAACTCTATATTTATATTGTATATTATGATCAGATTTTCTGTCATCGAATAAGTCAACCCTAGATGTATCACTTACTGTTTTCATATACAGGGCTCAAAATTAACGGTTGTCCGCTTGCCTGGTGCAACTAAAGATATGGCAAGGACAAGTGCGCAATCTTATAAAGTTGCTCGATCGGGCAGGTGATGTTTAGCTTGTAGTAGTTTTACTCCATCTCATTCAGGCCGACATTACTACCTCGAGAGCAAGGAGGGGCCACGTCAATTCTCGAAGAATTCCACACAATTAGTGCCACTTTATTGCCAAACTCCTGTTAAATCAATTTATTGAGACATATTTGGGCAAGTAACTTTTGACATTGGGCAAGTGAAATATAAATGGTAATTGCCCAAAGGGCAAGTGGCTGAAAAAGCTTAATGTCAAGGCCTGCATACGTTTATTTTTTGGCTTCCGTCATATCTCACGGCCAATCAGCTCCCAGGTGAAATAGTATTTCACAAGTCTCTTTCCAAGAAAGCAAGAGATTCAATGTTTTTACAATATGTTAATAAACAGGCAACACACTGTGGTCCATTTCTTTCACAACATTGAGTCTTTAAAGACTTTCTCAGTACAAACAAATTATCCAAGAAAATATTTAGGTCCTCCAGCTTTAGTTAGGCCAAGATGTGCTCTGCCCTTGCACAACACAATCGCGTCGCAACATCAAAAGTAACGACAATTTCTTAGTTCGCTGTTATTTTAAAACACTGAAGCAGTATTTTACAATCACCCCAGTTAGTTATACCTTCAGGATCGTGCCCCACAGACGGAAACTCGCTCCCCGAGGCTCCACCATCCCGTCTGACCACGTTTTCCTGGCTCTCCTCTTTCATAACTCCCACCTCAGCCTCGTCCATCTTGGTATTAGCCTGATGCTAGCAGGTTAGCTTCAGAGCTGTGATGGGAATTTCACTGCAGGGCGCGGGCTACAGGTAAAGCACACAGTCGGGATGAAGGTCAGTATTTAGCAGTAGACCAGATCAGCGTTTTTGGTTGTTTATACGGGAAAGCACTCACGGTTTACGGCTCTTTTCTCCATCTGAGGAACCTTTCTCTGCGGATGCGCTGCTGTTAACTAGCTCCTTCTCTCAAGTTCCAGTTTTCGTTACCGCCACCTGTCGACTGCGTCTCACACATCACCCACACACTAGTGTAGAGAACTCATGTCTAACTAATTTTGTTAAAATAAAATAACAATAAATAAAACAAATAATTTTGTTTTGATAAAATAAATACATGGATATAGGCTGAGTTTGAATTTTCTAAACAAAACTAGTTCAGTTACTATATGTCTGGACTGAACCAAAACTGGGTCAATTCTAATAATGTATTGTATTATTGTGAAATGTAGCGTTAAAATGAATACCTTACCATCAATGCTGCAAGCTAACAGTTATAATAGAAATCATTTGATGGGCGTTTAAAAATGAAATAAAAAAACAATAAATATCAAAAAGTCAGACGTGTGTTTAAGAATTTTACTTCACTGAGACATGAATGTGCTTTTATATTATGTAACAGTTTTATCATAATATACACACATACATTATAATTGTTTTGGCATTCAAATTAAAGCTGGGGTACCAAAAATATATATTTCTTTATGTATATTCTGCATGCTTGAACCTTTGAGTCACTACTTGACGCTTTGGGCTGAGAGGCTAAGTGAAGGCAGTCCACTAATTATCACTTTCTCTTTGAAAAAACTGATCTAAAGATAGGCCAAGAAAATACATATACTTACACCTGGAGCTGAAACCAAACTTTTTTGAGAGGGTTATATGGTTTTTATGATTTTTTTCGTGGATTGATAACTTGTTTAGTGTTGTTTAATTGAATTTAAATAATGGAAAAGCTCACATAATCCATGTGACTTGTATCCAGAGTATCCAGGAGACAATTAGTTGCTCCATAGATGAGATTAAAAAAAAAAAAATAATAATAAAAAAGCTAGTTTATGACTTGATACATTTTTCATATTAAAAAGTCAGGACCAAAGTTGTATAAGTGCACAGTTAATCATTGTCGAAAATAAAAATGTGTATGTAAAAAAAGACTGGAACATTCTGTCTGTCACGTCTGCATACTGAACAGTAAAAAAAAACATGCTCAGGTGTATTTACCGGTTTAGTAAATCTACACGTAGGAATTCGACTAACTATACAGATGTAGTTCTGCTCCACCCAGTGCATGGTCCACCTCTGCTGCTGTGACCTGCCCTGCTCCACCCAGTGGCTACACCATCTCTGCTGCTGTGACCAAAAGTCTTTTGCATTTGACTACTATTGTCAGCTACTTGACACCTGAATTTGTTCTAGGTAAATCAATAAAGTATCTATCTACAGTATTTGCACTTGGTCCACATATTAAAACAGTACTAATAGTCAACGTACTAGACATGTGTTTTAAATGATTAGACATTACAACCAAAGTAACTCAATTGACATCTTACAGACTACTATATTTGTATAGATTTTTTTACTTGAATTCTTCCACCAGAAATAGATGGCAGTGATAGTGTCTATTGATGTGACAAGTCTGTACTAGCCAGTGCCATGTTCTTTTGGGTTGTGTGTGGGGCAGCAGTCTGAACTCGAGAGATAGAAATCGTCTCGACAAACTGAATGCAAAATGTGTTTCTGTGATGGGGAGAAGTGTGGACTCTGTGGGAGCTGTGTTGGAGAGAAGGGCGAGAGCTCTAATTCAGGGCATTCTGAGTAACTTCAGACACCCTCTGCATGACACTATGGCTGCTCAGAGGGGTAACCATGGCAACAGGTTTCTATCACTGCACTGCAGAACGGAACGTTTTATGAGATCTTTTGTTCCTTTGGCTCTACGACTGTACAGCAGATCTCTCTGAGTTGAACATGTGCACTTTTGTTTGTTGGTTACTAACTTAATTAATGGCCATAATTGCATGCCAAAGCCAGATCCCATCATAGATTGATAGATAGATACATAGATATTTCATTGATCCCAGTAAGAGAAATTCAGGTCTCCAGTAGCGGCAAAAACACATCCATCCACACAAACAAAACAAATTGATCATTTTAAAAAGCTAACAATAGTATTAATAAAATGCAACAGCACTTCAGGTCACAGCAGCAGAGGTGGTGCTGCCCCTGGGTGGAGCAGGACAGGTCACAGCAGCAGAGATGGTCAAGCCCTTGGGTGGAGCAGGACGGGTCAAAGCAGCAGAGGTGGAGCCGCTTGGTTCGGAACATTTTCTTTGCTCTAGTTCAAAGTAAAAATCTAAAGGCTTTGTTAGCATTTTTCAAAAGTTCATACCTAGCTAAGCAGGGCAGGGCTTGGTTAGTACTGTGATGGGCCTCTGGAATAGCTCGTTGTGTCCTTAGGCAAAACACTTTACCCATATTGCCTAGAATGAGACCGGTGAGTGTGTGGGAATGGTTGGTGGTGGTCAGAGTGGCCGATGGCACATACTGGTTGTCTCGCTACTGTCAGTGTGTGTCCACCTCACCATCGTGTATGGAGTGAACAAAATATTGATTGTTTTTATTATTTCAGGGTCTTCTGTTTTTGTTTAGTAAAGGGGTTTGGGTTTGCTTGTGTATGTTGAGCAGGAATCAAGGAGACCACTAACTGAGATATAGAGCAAAATAGACTGAATGTTTCCAAAAATACAGCTCAATTCACACAAAAGGCGTTCAAGGCCAGTGCCATTGAAACAAAGAATGAAAACAACACAAGAATGAAAATAAAACAAAAGCCCAGGCATTCCTCGTTTGGAAAGTAATAGGCCTTGGTTCTCCGGCCAAATAAAGGATTGTTTCCAAAAATCTATTGTTTTTTCTAGAGCAAAAACAATAAAGATGTCCCATTGTTCTCTGGGATTGACAACCGGGGTGACAGTTAGTTGGTAGACACCTCTGGGAACACCAGATACCACAGTGGGGCGGCTGCGGCTGTAAAGTGCCAAACTGCTGTTGTGTCCCTAGGCAAGATACTTTACCCCCATTGCCTAGAAAGAGTCTGATGTGTGTGTGCATGGTTAGTGGTGGCCAATGGCACATACTGGTTTCACCGCTTCTGTCGGTGTGCCCCAGAGCAGCTGTGGCTACAGTAGTACTGTAGTTTATCATGTGAAGCGCCTTTGAGTGTCCAAAAATTGCTGGATAAATCTGATGCATTATTATTAGTTGTATTGTACTCGTCAATCATCTCGACATCTTGAGGTCACCTACTCCCTCCATAGGACTCCACATTTTCACTGGTTGACCATGTGTTGTTGGGCTTGGTGAATTGTAAATATAGGAAAGGGACCAGACCACTGAAAATCTCCCTCAATCTGGGCCTCCAAGCAAGATGTCACCCCGTGGGGTCAAAATGATCACAAGAACGATGAGCCAAAATGCAGGAACCACACGGGGGGATCTAGTGAATGACCTGCAGAGAGCTGGGACCAAAGTAACACACTACGCCACCAGGGACTCAAATCCTGCAGTGCCAGACGTGTCCCCTGCTTAAGCCAGTACATGTCCAGGCCCATCTTTTATTTGCTGGAGAGCATTTGGATGATTCAGAAGAGGATTGGGAGAATGTAATATGGTCAGATGAAACCAAAATAGAACGTTCTGGTAAAAACTCAACTCACCCTGTTTGGAGGAGAAAGAATGCTGAAACATGGGCGTGGAAACATCATGTAAGTAGCTCTGGAACATTTGTTGTTTTGTGCTTTACATTTGTTACTTTTCTTGCTTTTTTCTACCTGATATGTTGCTGCAGTACAGGGTTCATGGTTTTGCGCTGGTCCAGGCCAGAGTGGAGTGGATTCATGGTCCGAAACAAGCTTATCAGGCGACCTCCGGATGAATGCTAATTTTTTGAAAAATGCTTACAAAGTATTCAGCATCTCACTTTGGACTAGAGCAGAGAAAATGGTCAGAACCAAGCAGCATCTTTGCTGCTGTGACCCGTACTGCAACACCCAGCGGCTACTCCACCTCTGCTGCTGTGACCTAAAGTGCTGTTACATTTAAATACTATCAATAGCTACTTATAGAATTATCTATTTATCTGTGTCTCTGCTGCTACTGGACACCTGAATTTCTCTTACGGGGATCAATAAAGTATCTATCTATCTATCTATCTGTCTGGGCTGTTTTTCTGCAATGGGACCAGGACAACTGATCCGTGTAAAGGAGAGAATGAATGGGGCCATGTATCGTGAGATTTTGAATGAAAATCTCCTTCCATCAGCAAGAGCATTGAAGATGAAACGTGGGAAGTCTTTCAGCATGACAATGCTCCCAAACACATGGGCAATGAAGGAGTGGCTTTCTAAGAAGCATTTCAAGGTCCTGGGGTGGCCAAGCCAGTCTCCAAATCTCAACCCCATAATAATAATTCTTAGGAGGGAGTTGAAAGTGTTGCCAAGCAACAACCCCAAAACATCACTGCTCTAGAGGAGATCTGCATGGAGGAATGGGGCAAAATACCAGCAACAGTGTGTGAAAAACTTCTGAAGACTTAAAGAAAACTTTTGAGCTCTGTCGTTGCCAACAAAGGGTATATAAGTATCGAGATTAAATTTTGTTATTAACCAAATATTCATTTTCCACCATATTTTGCAAATACATTCTTTAAAAATCAGACAATGTGATTTTCTGTTTTTTTTTTCTCATTCCGTTAAAAATTACAGGCCTCCCTGTGGGAGAACTTGCACAATTGGTGGCTGACTAAATACTTTTTTGCCCCACTGTAAATGGTTCTTGGGTATTCTAGTGTATATTTGAGTGTAAACATGTGAAGTTGTGATTTGTTAATTCTGTGTTTGTAAAATATTACTGTCATTAATATGATGTAATCAGTTCAGAGTTTGATGTCTTTCATACATTTTATAGATCTTGAAATGTCTTGTGTTTGTAAGGTAAAGGCAAAGTAAGTTTCATACTGCAGCCTTTTTTGAAATGATGAAATAGTTTGTTGACTGAAGAATAGATAACTTGAGATCTGTTACATCACATTTAACACATGCCAGCTTGCACTTTAACAGATTATATCCAAATTGAATGTTATTGAAATAAATCTGGACTAAAAAAAGTCCTATTTAAATCAGATTGCTTTGTTGACAGGCTGGTCTAATGATTTTTTTTAAATTAAAAACATAAAAAATATATTGTACACAATGGATTATTTTATTCACTGGATACACAACTTGTTACTTATCGAGACAACACTTCAGGAACAAGAGGTAGACACCGTGAACTGCAGGATTTACAACTTTTCAAACATCTGTTTTCATGAATGAATTTGGCATTGTTTCTTAAAATCAAGCCATGAAATGTATACACAAAAGAAAATGTACCACAACGGACCATCTTCCATGATTTACATGTAGATTTTAGGAATGACACCAGAGGAGCTGCCCCAAGCACAAGTACAGATGACACTTCCATATCAAAGGCACACTGAAAAGATTTTTCGAAAATTATTGCAATCGGATGAAATCAATGATGACAAGTGATGAGAACTAGAGCGAGTAGAACAGTGAGATGAAAAAGTGGGACATGCTTGGGTGGACGGGGGTGATACATTATTATGCATTTGGTCCAATCATGCACATGTAGTTTGTCAAGCATTCTATTTTGGCAAAATAAACCTGATTAATATTCCTTTATCTACTGATAGTGAGTTATCGGTCAACAATCAGGAAAACTGCCTCAGGCTCCTGTAAAACCTGGGATAAAAGGGTGCTTTTGGGTTTGGGCAACCGGGACTCGAGCAAGGGTCTGCAACAAGTGCTAGCCACAGATCTGCAGCCAGGGTTATATTCATGTAATTCAACCAGCTATAAACGTAACACACTTTACAACTGAAGTTACTGTAATTAGATAGCAACTGAAATAACAAAGTAGTGATTTTGTAATTAGATTACAGATACTAAAAATACAATTTTGCTAACTGGCAACACCAACATCTATGGTACATTGTAATTGTTCGGTATAAAATTTCCAAATGTAATGGAAAAGTCATCTATCCAAACTACTTTCTGAAGGCAATTACAGAATAGTGTCACTTTATACATTTTTTTAAAAGCTCTTATGTTTGTAAGCCATTACATATGAATAATTGCCCAACTAATTTGCTCACTGCTCAACACAAGAAAAAAAATATTAATTGTAAAAATAGTTATTTATAACATAACTGCAAAATAAGTGAAGTATTTAACATTTACCCTTCACTTCAGAGCACGGGCAATGTAGTGTGGCAAAATCTGTCAAATGCAATGTTCTTTGAATAAAACTGGGTTTTATTTTAAGGCCTTAGGTTTAGCAACATTGAATGAAAAATGTTTTATTCATCCAAAATGTTTTGTTCATTTTCTTCCCCTTAATCCATTTCTGGGTGGTGGCAACCAATTCACAAAGCACCAGCCCCTCACTAATGCTCCTGCAGGTGGTGAGTCCACAGGAGGGTAGCTGCTCTTTCAGTAACAATACAGCCTTCATCTTTCAGCGGGGGCTTCAGGCAAAGTGGGGTTAAGTGTCTTGCCCAAGGACAAAACAGCAGCAGACATCAGTGGGAGTTAGTGGAGAAGGTCTAATTGTGGGCTCGAACCAACAACCTTCAGGCTCAAAAGGCGAATGGTGTACCAACTGAGCCACTGTCATCCCAATTTTAAAGCTTGAAAAGACCTTTGGGGCTACCCTGCTATAACTCCACACTAACAGTTATTATATTTTCTCTATATGGGCATAATATAAAACAAAACATAAGGGTGCATGGACACATTTCTCATCATACATAGTGGCTGTTCTCCGATTATTTCAATTCCAGAGTCATAGAAATTGGCTCTTAGCTTAGATCCTGGTTGCAGACCCCTTAACTTAGCCGAACAGAAACCATCAATCTCATGAAGACCACAACATGCAAACTGGGACCGCTGTAAATTCAATAAATAAAAAATACACTGAAACCGGTTGAGCAGAATATGACAGTCAAATCTCCCCCTGCGCGTGCTGCATGTAGTGCATTTGGAGATCCACCTCTCGGGGAAGAGTGCGGCCGCAGATCATGCACTGGGGAAGCCGATCAGTCGGGAAGGCGAGCCGTGGCGGGCCCAGTTTGTGAGACAGCACCTGCGAGACCTGAGGCGGGAAAAACAGATTTGGATGCGGCGGTCTAGGGAACACGCCGACTGAGACCGAATGGAGAGGGTGAGATGGCGGAAGACCGAGGGGTGGCAGAGATTGAAGAGGTGGGAAGAAGTGAGGCGGCTGATTCATGATCAACTTGGCATTCTGCTGCTGAAGATCTTGCATGTTTCCAGCTTTGAGAATGGCCTGTGCTGCCACGGGGTTACTCTGAAACCCCCACATTGGTGCGCTTATGGTCTGGGCGAATCGTTGCGGCTCAAACGGAATCGACATAAACGGCAACAATTGCTTCTGCTGTAATTGGAAATCCGGGCTGCTCAAGAGGTGGTCAGGAGATTTCAAGGCTTTTTGCATGCCGGGAGATGTCTGTATGTCCCAACGAGCTCCAATTCCGTGCGGGGGCATTTGAGATAAAGTCGATGCGTTTGATAAACCTGAAACCCAAGCCTTTTCTGACTGCATAATAGCCTGCACTTGTGGAGAAGCCATGTCCCATTTTTGCAACTCTCCCTTTTGAAGAGGAGACGGGAGGTTAGCTTGGCTGGGCATCAGAGTGCCCTGCCACGTTGGCGACTGCATGTCTTTATTCATTTTTTTCGGAGAGTTATGCAAATTCAGATTGGCTGCAGGAGGTCTAACGCTCCACAACGCTGCACCATCAATGTAAGATACAGCATGCGATGATAGGAGAGAGCTTGTTGGAGCTACTGTGGACTGTGGGCTGCTCCACACTGCTTGTAGTTGTCTTTGCTGCTCCGTTTCTGTCGCAACCGTTTTTTGTGGCACATACGAAGGGCCTGGGCTAATGTAGGAGGGCGATGTTTCCATTCTGTGCGGTGACACTAAAACTTTTCCAGGCATGGAGTGTGGCTGTGTGGGCAACGCTAAAAAGGCCTTGTGGGGAGATAAAACCGCCGTAAGTTCGCCTCCGATGTCTGCTTTCCAGTGGACCGGAGGCGGAAGCTCGTTCATTTTTTGTGGTGTTTGTTCCAAGGAGGCTGCACTTATGGGAGGGGGCTGGTCGACAATCTTATGCATCTCTGCATCACTGACTGGAATGTCAGACAAACCGACCAAACCCAATCCCTCGAACGGGCTTGAAGCGGCCCATTTGTCCTTGCTTGTACGACTCATGCTATCCTCCATCTCTAAAGTGTTTTGAATTTGCCGCTTGTGAGCTTTCTTGTGCACTAATAAGCTGCTCAACCAGGTGAACGACTTGTTGCAGACCTCGCACCGGTGCGGTCTGGCCCCTGTGTGCGTGTTCATGTGGTCGAGGAGCTGATAGGCTAACCCAAAGGCCTTGTCGCAGATGTTACATCGGTGTGGTCTCTCGCCTCTGTGGCAAAGCAGATGCGTGTCGAGTTGAGCTTGGTCGCTGTACCCTTTGTGACAGGAGCTACAGCGGAATGGCTTTTCTTGATGCAGCTTCTGGTGCGTTTTCATGTTCTGCAAAAAAGCAAACGCTCGGCCACAGTCCGGACATTTATATGGGCGTTTTCCTGTGTGAATGATGAGATGTTGCTGTAAGTAGCTACTGAATCTAAAGCTTTTGCCACACACTTTGCACTGGTACGGCTTGTCTTTACTATGGATGCGCATGTGCAACTCCAACACAGAGCGGTGGCGAAAGGATTTTCCACATTCTGAGCATGCAAAAGACTTCACATCTTTGTCAAATTCTGGCACGTTATTGCTGCTTTGTGATGGAACGGCTTTGCAGGCAAGGACTGGGGAGTTATTTGGCAACTCAGCTTTGTGAAAAGTAGATACGTGAACTTTCAAACTCAACTCGTCGCAAAAGATGCTGGTGCAGTGGGGGCAGTTGTGAGTCCACTTGAGCGGTTCTTTGGGTGACCTGGGTGCCCTGTCCATTTCATACTCAGCCTCGTGTGTGTGCATGTGGATTCTCAAATTAGCAGGCGTTGTAAAGTTTTGGTGGCAAAGAGGGCACTTATAGGTATGTGGTACTTCCTTATTTTGCAGCACATTTTCCTTTTCACATCTTTTCACCGCCGCCTGCGCCAAAGCTTGAAGGCTGTTTGAGGTTTTCGACTTCTCCGCTGCGTCAGGAATGATACCAAGGGAATGCAGCCGGGAGTGGGCCTTCAAGTTCTGTGCAAAAGCAAAAGATTTCCCACATTCAGAGCAGTGAAAAGGCTTTTTTCCCGTGTGGAGAAATTGATGCTGGTTTAATTGGCTGCTGTATTTGAAGGACTTACCGCAAACATTGCACGGATACGAGGCTGAGCTCTCCGTTTGCTTATGCTGATGATCCACCCTGGCGGATGGATGCTGTTCGAAAGCCAGTCCAGGGTCGGGGTTTTCAAAATTGGGTTTTTTGTGGTTTTTCTTGTGGGAAGCAAGACAAACAGCATTCTGGAAAGTTCTAAAACACTGAGTACATTGGAGATTTTCTTGGGAGTGAGTAAGCATATGTCTTTTAATAGGTGCCAGAGCCGTAAACTCTTGCCGACATATTGGGCAGTGGAAAAGCATGTCGTCGGAAAAGCCGCACTTGTGATTTCTCAATTTCTCTACTGCTAAGAACACCGTGCTGCATGCTGCACACTGGAAGTTCTTCTGCTCCTGCTTACCATCGCCTCTTTTGACACGTACGCCCTCCATATCCTTTTGCTTGTGCTCTTTGCGGTGCTTGATGAAGCTGCTGCGCTGCTGGAACGTGAGGCCGCACTCTTTACAAGTGAGCGGCTTGAGCTCGTCTTCATGCAGGTGGAAATGGCGATGCAGGTTGAATGTCTCTCGCCGGTTGAAGACTTTTCCACACTCCTTGCACATCATCGTCCTCTTTTTGGTGGCCGCCTCAGCCTCTGCCTCCTCCTCCTCCTCCTCCTCCTCCTCTTGCCGTTTCTGCTCTGCTGCGGCCGCCCCGTCCCCCTGCCGCGTATCCTCGTCCTCACAGCTTTCCGGTCGGTCGGCTTCCATTTCGTTTGCTTTGTTGGCCGTCGTGGCTGAGCAGGCTTCCCCGCTGACGCGCTCTTCAGTCGGACCGAGATCTGCAATAAAAAAATGACAAGAAAAAGACATTTGTATTTTATAATTACTAAACAATACATCTTTCAGTGTTGTTTTTATTAATGATCTGAGAAAGCAAAGCTTATCACTGACTTTACAGCTGCTATTTGATTGTCAAACACTGAAAAGGTGGAAATGGGTATTTGTTGAATTTAATGTATTAATTGAGAAGAGAACATAAAAAAATCAAACTGCATGTACAGGGTTTGAAAAGGGATTGGTTGAACCAAATAATTATCAAACTGTATGACAATAATTTAAGTAATAATGTGAAAATTAATAGTATAACTCATTGTTCATTAAATAGCTAGAACAAAATATTAAATGAAGCTCAATTTTAAATGTTAAGAGAATGACTCGACTAGTGGAGATCAGATGATCAATCATCTAGTTTTGTTTTAATAGTCAACTCTTTTAGAAATAGAAAAATGATGCTGTATGACTCCCACAAATACGTATTTTTTTTTACTCAAACAGAAACATATATTTCTATATTTTAAGCAGTTTTGCGATTTGCGACCAGTAATATTGAGATTTCGATTAATCTTTCTGTAAAAAGGCTACTCTATAGTTGTGCATCTTAATATATAGGTCTATGGTCAATGCTAATAAAGTGTGAATGCTTTCTGACGCTACAGCACGAGCGCATATGCATGTAAATACCAGAAACTTTAAATATGAAATACCCACTTCCTCTTCTCCCTGCACAACCCACTCACCCCAACTTTAACTTTCCTGATGACAGCGGATCTCATTAACGCTTTAATTGCCAAGTACCTAGTTTAGGAGTTGGATTTCCCTTCTGTGGTGAAAGACGCTCCGTACATTCGTCGCTGTCTGACGCGCTGGGAGACCGCTTCTCTGTGTTGTTGCTGCAGTCTCGTTCTCCGGGCGCAGAATGGTGTTTTTTGGGCGCATTCCCCGTGTATGCGTCTGTCTCTGCAGCACTGATCTGGGCATAATCCGCGGAATGGGCCGTGTCTCCAGCTGTGACCGCGCTGCTGGATCCCTCTGCGGGTTCCTGGTCTCCTGACGCGGGTTCCGTGGACTCGGAGCTGTCCGTGTGCGCAGATGTTTGCGGGTCTGCGTGTGGCAGCGAGTGCATCGTTTGGAGCTGACCTAAAGAGCAATTATTCTCTCTTTTTACAGAGTCTGCTTCTGACTCCGAAGACGCCATATTTTTTTCTAACACATGCACCTCCCACCCCAAAAAAGTAAAAACACAGACATTTCCGGTTAGAGATGTCAAAATAAAATACCACGTTGTCGCGCTGTAATTTCCTTTATTGGCCATAAGTAACATTAGCTTTATGGATTTGATATTTGGATTTATCGTTTATTGACTTAAATTACATTACAGAAGCTAATTATAAAATACCAGTGGTGGAAAACTACTGTCTATTCTAGTCATACCATACTGCATGCAGAGCAGAATAAATAGTGTTGGCAAATAAAAGTGGAGACTGTAATATGGAGAATATTACATTTAAACACTGAAGAAAAGCAGTTTGGCTTTGCTGAATAATGCACTGTGGGACTTTTAAAAAGCACATTTTCAAGTTATTGTTACTTAACAATATAAGGTATATGCACACACAATTGTATTTTACAGGTAAATCAAGTTATAATACTTAACTTTGATATTGCCAATGCTGATCTAGTCAGAACATTGTAAGCTTGACAAGTCTACTGCTATGCATGTATTATAACGTGCACATTACACATGAGTTTCATACAGTTAAAGACAAATCTATCCTTCTGCTATAAATAACAAAGCTAAATTAAGGCTATTGTCCAATTTACTGTTGCATCATCATCTTAAGCTCCCTCAAAGGACTGGCATTAACAAGTTGAACTAATGGCAAAGTCACTTATGCAGTTTCACTAAAATATTGATAAAAGTCTATGCTTTTTGTCAATATTTTGTAGAACTGTTTTGTTTCTGCTCATCGGCGCTTTTTGCGTCTGTGCTCAGCCACTCGTCCCGGCCGCACTTTGTGTCCGCCTTTTTCCTCTAAGAGTTTGTGTGCACTCTTTTCCTCTATGAGTGGATCTGAAGAGAAGGTGGCGTGCATGTCCGCTGTTGCCACCGGAGAGTGACTGAGAGAGGCTGGTTGCTGCGGATGTGAAGGAGGATAAGTCTGCGGAGGGTCAGTCCCCTGGTCTTCCAACGGCTGTAGTGGAGTCTGCAAGTGCTGCTTTGACTGTGGCACGTGCTGCTGCTGCTGATGCTGTGGTGGTGGAGGCGGCCGCTGGGCCTCTAAAACTCCCAGAAGCCTTTGCAAGAGGATATTGTTCTGCTGGAGACTTAAAGCCAAAGCCTCTTGAGAAGCAACTAGAGTCTTCATGTCCTCCCTGAAACCTTCCCCAAACTCTCTTAAACTTTTTTCTACATGGTTTCCCAGCTGAATTGCTGCTTCACCTAATCCACGGAGCTCGTCTTCCAGCCACAAGCTGCGGGGCGGGGCTTCCAGAGGGCCCTGCTGCGTTCCCAGTGAGGGCTGGGGGCTTCCAGGTGGTGGGCTGCCGTTGAGGAAAGGAGCGCTGTACAAAGGGGAGGGAGGCAGCCAGCGTTCAGAAGGAGGGTGAGGGCCGATCCCCAGACCCAGTCCTAACCCGAGTTTGTCATCTATGCTGTTCTCCACTGTGTCACATTCATTTTCTGTCATGTCTTTGTCCCGCTCAGAACTCTCCTCCTCCTTCTCTAGAACATCTCTGTCTGAGGAGTCCATTCCAGCACCTGTGAAAAGAATACAAATAAAGTTGTTCTGAAAGTTGATCTGGAAATTGAAATGAACACATACACTGCAGAAGGGAGCGGACAGCTTCCAACTGGGCTTTCAGTTTATATGACATTTAATATGTTGCTAATTATTTTACAAACAATATTCTGGTGCTTTATGACTCTGGTCTGTGAAAGGCGTTTATATGAATAAAGTTTACATACTACTTACCCACTTACTTACTTCTTGGTTGTGATTGATGATCACACTTGGGATACATGTCACCCACTATAATAAACTGTGCCAATGTATACATTCGAATAATAAAAGTATATATAAACAGTTAAAATACATATTTTGTTGAATTAATTATCACATTTTCATTGAAAAAAACTGTAAAATTTCAGTCCATCCTACCATGATGTCATCCATTCTAGAACTCTGCAGGACTTTTTTTTTTCACAAACTGTGACTTGATTTGTGAAAAACTATCATTTATATTGTAAGCAAGTACATCCCATCAAACCAAGGAAAAATTATGCAATTTCAGACCTAAATGGGGTTTAATATTGGGGTTTAACTAGCGATTGGTCTTTGGATAGCAAAACATGGAACAATAAAAACTGACCAATCAGATGTATTCTTTCATAGAAATATTCTTGAGCTTGTGTTCCAAACATCTTGTTTCAGAAGATTTCTTGCACCTATCACTATACATTGTCAGGATTATGATTTCATAATTAGGACTTGTTGATTTAAAGTCAGGTTATTGGGAAAGGTATTGCTTCACTTGCTTGGAACCAAAAAACCAGAGGTTATCCACTCTGCAGACTATGAATGACTACAGAGGATGATAAGACCTTAAACTATATTCTATAGCAGTATTTCATAATGCTGATTACCTGGGTCAGAATCAGGGAAACAAGGAAAAGTCGCTTTTAAGCGTGCGTTTAGTTTTTGCCGAGCATGTTGAAGCCTTGGGCTGGGCAGAGAGCGGCCGAGGAGAGAGCTCCCTCTGCTTGTGGGCAGATAACAGGTGCGATGGCGGGCATCTGCCAGTCGGCCTCCATTACGCCTCTTTAAGTCATCCCAGCGTTTCTTTACCTCTCGGAGGGTTCGTGGCACTCGGGACACAGCGTTTACTCTGTCTAAGATGCCAGCCCAAATGCGCTCTCTTTCCCTGCGCCTCAGTCTTCCAGCGGGACCAAACAACTCCCCTTCACACCGGGTAACTTCAGACACCAGAACCTCCAGCTCTGCGCCGCTGAAGCGACTTTTTCTTTTGCCCGCACCACCAGCTGCCAGAGCCGCTGACATAGCTCTGTCTGCAAGACACAAAACATGCTTTTTATTGTGCTATGATTATATATGTTTCTAAACAGAAAGTGACTAATTATTGTATAAATAGTTTATACAATATAGTTGTGCTTGAAAGTTTACACACTAGAAAATTTTGATATTTCAGTAAATGATAACACAAACACTTTTTTTCACATATTGTTGTGTGAAGCCATTTATTGGCCTTCTGACCCTTTTAACATCTATGACAGCTTGGAGTCTTTTTTTAGTAGTTGTGGATGAGATTCTTTAACCTCTCTGATGGTAAAGCTGCTCAATCTTGTTTTTGAACCTCCAGTTATGTTTATTTGACAATATATTGCTCGACACAATCACAAAAAAATTGTGAAAACAGTTTTTGAAAAAGTGTTTGTTTCTCATTCATTATTATTCAAAAAATATGGTTAAAACCACTAAATCCCGGGTTGGGTGAGTAAAATTTCAAGCACAAATGTATATAGAATGTAATAAATGATTTGAACATACAGTCAGTGGATGAAGGTGAGAACATATAATGATTCTCACTTTGTTCAATGGACAGAAGGTCATCAGAAGACAGTCCTGGAGCCATGATGTTGGGATGCACCACGACCACATTGAAGGGCAGCCCTGTTGGTAAGCCGGTACTCTGGTCACAGCTGCCATCAGAGTCATCATCATCCCGGGGAAAGCCGTTTTCGGAGGCTCCCGCTCCCAGGGGTCCCTCCGGAGACTCCACTTTGATGTGCATGGGAGGTGATTGCTCATACAGCAGTCCTCCCTCCTCGTAGTACTCAGTCATTGGACAGACCTAACCTGGGCCAGAACTGACAGGGCCAATTCTGACTCACAGCTACCCATTAACGTGCATCAATTAACTCCAATACCTCCACATGCTGATTAGCTATATCTCCAGTGAGAAGGCATATTTTCATTATGCTTTGGTCACTTTTGATAATCATAGTTCATCTAATGCAGACGGGACCGTTTTCTCCGTTGAAGTTGTTATTGTTGTCATTTTATCCTCATTCCCACAAGGCGAGTATAACACATGACAAACAAGAGGTGACTGCCCCGAACTGAAACACAACACACAAAACACATGGACTTATTAGTTTGACAGATATTTATAATGTGCGCCGCTAACACAGGAAAATTGTGTCGCAACTGTGCGGGAGCCTTGCACCAAATCCGCATCAGTTGCGCATTCTTCATATATTGACTGCTAGCTGTTAGCATCCTTCACATAATAAATACTCGTCAGATTTAGCACATTTGCGTTAGTAAGTCCGTCGTGACGCTGCGTTTGGTCCGTGTCTGTAGTGTTCTTACCTCAGGAAAACCGCAGACTAAACAAAAACAACAACATTCACGCTACAGCTGTTAGCTCAGCTGTCGACAGAACGGAGAGACGCGCAATGATGACGTCACAAGCAGTACAGGAGTACAGCAGAATGCAGAGGCCTGTGAAGTGTCAAAGCAGGATGTAGTACTGTATGAATATGAACTCATCTCTGAATAAGAAATATACTATTATAAACATGCATATTATCATTTACACTGTTTGTGTCGCAACTGAAACTGATACAAAAATTAATCTTCAGCCTTTATCAACAATTCATCTCAGTCAGTCTTATCAAAGTGATACGGATAATTAAACAAGCACAAAAAAGTCAAGTCTTTCTAATCTTCTCACATTATTTTCTTTTCATAGGTGTCCTCCTGAACTATTGTACATGTTTTTATTGGTAGGGGAAACCTCAGCACCCGGAGGAAACCTACGCAGACAAAGGGAGAACATGTAAACTCCACTCAGAAAGGGCCTGTTTCGACCCAGAACCTTGTGGCTGAGAAATGAAAGTGCCATCTACTCAGCCACGTGCCACCTGGCAGTTAGATTTGGCAGAACAAATTAATGATAGAGTAACGTCTATAAAATGTTTCTAGGGAAAAAATAAAATATGTGCGAGTGGAGGTTATAATCAGATGTACATTAAGCCAAATCTTCTGCTTTGGGAAAGGACACACACACACACACACACACACACCAGACTGCAGTTTCCCACGAAGAACAGTGTATATCTGTGTGTCAAGCCGCTTTCCATGTGCTCCGGTTTCCACTAAAATACCTGTTCAATAGGATTTCAGATTGCAGAACACGGATCATTTGAAAATGTTAATGGGGTCTTATCATCCATACATAAAGCATCAACATCCGGAGCTGGGTCCCCGACCACTGCATGTTGCCAAGCACTGCTCCTGAGAGGCCCAGTTGGACAGGTCGAAGCTCAATGGAGAGGGAAGATTAAGTTTTTAATTCATTTATTCTGCTGTTATTGTGGCTGAAAACCTGCTGATACTTTTCCTGGAGGAGGGCCTTGTTCTCACCATGAATATAATATATATTTGCATTAAACATATCTATCTCCACATATGTTATGAAGTATTAACTATCCACTTCTATGGAATCATGCAAGTAACTTACGAAGATTCCACTGCATGTTTAGTGTCATCTGCGCATTTTCCCAAGTGACTTTCCATACAATCAGCAAAAAACCAATGTCCAGCTCTGATAACAGCCTTTAAAAAGACCTGCCTAAACCTGAGTAGACACTGAGACTCAGTCCCAAACTATCATGAAGGCTTTCATTCTTCTGGCTCTCTTTGCTGTGGCTTGTGAGTATGCAGCTTAAGTCATGATTCCATATGTCTCCATATATTCACTTGAACATAACTGGTTTCTCCGCAGATGCCGCTCCCATTGAGGATGACAAGATTGTCGGAGGCTACGAGTGCAGAAAGAACGCTGTTGCCTACCAGGTGTCTCTGAACTCGGGCTACCACTTCTGCGGAGGCTCCCTGATCTCTAGCACCTGGGTGGTGTCTGCTGCTCACTGCTACAAGTCGTAAGTACAAGAAAAGGCCATGGGATCAGGCTTTTAGATTTGTCTGAGCTAACTGTGCTTCCATTAGCCGCATCCAGGTGCGTCTTGGCGAGCACAACATTGCTGTGAACGAAGGCACTGAGCAGTTCATCAACTCTGCCAAAGTGATCAAGCATCCTCGCTACAGCAGCAGTAACCTGGACAACGACATCATGCTGATCAAGCTGAGCAAACCCGCTTCCCTGAACAGCTATGTGAAGACCGTGGCCCTGCCCTCCAGCTGTGCCTCCTCTGGTACCAGGTGTCTCATCTCCGGATGGGGCAACATGAGCGGCTCTGGAAGTCAGTACCGTTTTCAACTTTGTGTGAAGTGTAGAAGCGGAACCAAAGTACCAACTCAAATGTATGCGTTTTATCACCGTAACAGGCAACTACCCCGACCGCCTGAGGTGCCTGGATGCTCCCATCCTGAGTGACAGCAGCTGCAGAGGCTCCTATCCAGGACAGATCACCTCCAACATGTTCTGCGCTGGCTTCCTGGAGGGGGGAAAGGACTCTTGCCAGGTAAGGGAACACAACTGTAAGCAGTGAATGAGAAATAGCATGGATGCTAACATTATGGTGTGTATCAGGGTGACTCTGGCGGCCCTGTGGTCTGCAACGGTCAGCTGCAGGGAGTGGTGTCCTGGGGCTATGGATGTGCCCAGAGGAACAAGCCTGGAGTCTACGCCAAGGTCTGCAACTACAACTCCTGGATCCGCAGCACCATGTCCTCCAACTAAGACCACCTCAGGTCTCACCTGTGTCTGACCAACTGGACCTACAGCCTGCTGTCTTTATGAAACCACACAATAAATGACATTTGTACATCTAAAACAATACTGAGTGTCTTTTCTGTCTTGTGCCGAGCTGGATTACAGCGTCACAATGTGATCAAACCATTATCTAGTTCCTTCACTCTAAAAGCAGTTTAGCACAACCCTTTTCACATGGATCTATCAAATAGGGACAACCTTTTCGGCTCTTATATTGGGTGTTTTTGCACTCCAAGAACCTCTTCAGTTCCTGTTGCTTAGTTGTAATTATTTTGGGCACGTATTTTCTGATACATTTCAAGGAAAATATCTAATAAAATGTACTAAACTTTGTTTTTTAAGCTGTTGCTTTTTAAATGTATTCTTAGATTAATCAACTTCTATTACACAGTCTACAGAGCCGTTAAATATAAACCTGTATAATTTTCATAAAGAATAGGTTGGATAATTTTGTATTCAAATTCATTAGATTTGTAAATTCATCAATCCTGGATGCAGCGTCCATGGGTAGGTGTTCTGGGAACGTTACATCAAGAGGAGGGCCCGGACCCGGGACTTGCTGGAGGGTCTGGGTCTTTCAGCTGGCCTGGGAACGTTTCCCCCGGATAAGGGGCACTGCACTGTGGTCACCACTGCTCCTGATAAATCCGGCGCTGTGCGTAAATGACAATGGAAGACAATGGTTGGGAAATGTATAATTTGATTGTCTTGTAGAAGTATTTACAAAAGTTATACAAGATCTCATAAGCAAAGCAGATCAAGGTGTGGTTAAAACTGTGATGGGAGGCCATTGAATACCAGGTGTGAGTGGATTTCTCTGGCTTGAGTGCAAAACTCCCCATGTGTCCTGCAGCAAGACACTTCACTCACATTCGTCCAGGTAGTTGTGACTAGTTGGTTAAATCCAGCTGAGAATGAGTGAATGAAGCAATGCTAAAAGTTGTTAAGAATGATTAATTGTATGCCATTTTTTAAAGATTGTGTTGATTTTTTCATACATTGAAATACTCTGTCATTCTTCAACAGGGGTGTCAAAGTTCTTTCGGTCAGGGGCCAAATTAAAGACATATAAATGGTCAGGGTCACAACTTTTTTGGTCTACACTTTTATACCTAATTAATAAATTAACCTAATTCCTAGATCTAAAGCCCCTCCATCTGTGGGATCAAATCCATCCTTCAATGTGGGCCTTCCTGAGGTTTCTCACACTTTTCCCTCTGTTTTTATTTTTTATTTTTATTTTTTAAAGTTGTTGACAGTGACGATGATCCAGGACACTAAGGACATTGATTAACATCTACTGACATTGGTCAAATGCCCCTTGACAGTGGCTCAACGTGTTATTTTTAACGACTGAATTTACTGAGTTTGAACAGTTTGATTTTCTGATATGTGTTGGTGAATCGAGAACTTTGTAAAGTCCTCTGAGATTACTGTTGTGGTGATTTGGGGCTGTACAAAAAATAGATTTAATGGAAATTATACCAAGGTCTCCCTTGTTTTCATTTTGGAAATTTGGTAAGTTATAGGTCTATATTGAAGAGAAATTTTGAGATAATTTTATTAATTTCATTTAATATGAGTCTGGATATTCTTTAGATATTTCTGCACAAAACGTAAAAGGTAAAAGCTGAGTATTGCAGAATAATAGGTGATTATGTAGGCCTATATACAATAAAATACAATACACAATACAATACAATACAATTTATTCTTGTATAGCCCTAGGTCACAACAGAAGTCATCTCAGAGGACTTAACAAAACCATTGAAATCACCAACACAGGTCAGAGAATCAACAGTTAAAACACATGGAGAATATAAAGCACACACAGAAGAAAATGTCCATACATGTTGTAGAATGCTGAAGTGTCCTGATCATCACCAATCCTTTCTGTTGGACCCTCCTGCATCGACAAGGAAAAACTCTTAAAAAACCCAGTGGGAAAAAGTGAGAAACCTTGGGGAGAACTAGGGAAACCCACAGGGAGGGAGACCCATATGAGAAAGGGATCCGCTCCTCCGGACGGACAGGCTAATGATCTAGGACCTAAGCTAGCTACAGAACGTGGACCAGTGGCCGCTGAACGTGGACAGGTCCGG